ATTTGTATCAAAGCTTAGAAATTTCTGCCTTGCTTTCAGTAGAGTTTCACAAAGCAATATGAAGCTGCAGATTGATGGCTGTTACAGTACTCCAAGTTGAACCAGTTTCCCATTATAATTCTAGTTTCAAAAGGAGAGGAACACTTAAGTCTTTCCCTATCAGTGGTGACGCTCACTCCCATACCATATTCCCACTAGGTAATTATATGTCACTTCACTTGGAAAAAACAGTGCGCATTTAGAAGGATGTCACTGGGTAATTTTCTGGTTGAATACTTCTTTTTTTTTGAGTCATAGTCTTGCTCTGTTGCCTAGGCTGGAGTGCATTCTCGGCTCACTGCAACCTCCGCTTCCCAGGTTCAGGTGATTCTTCTGCCTCTGTCTCCCGAGTAGCTGGGACTACAGGTGCCAGTCACCACGCCTGGCTTATTTTTGTAGAGGTGGGGTTTCACCATATTGGCCAGGCTGGTCTCGAACTCCCGACCTTGTGATCCGCCCTCCAGGTACTCCCAAAGTGCTGGGATTACAGGCATCAGCCACCGTGCCCAGCTGGTTAAGTACTTTTGTAGAACTCCAGTATGTTACCATACTACTTATCCTTCTCATTTGGGTGGTTAATTTTGGTAGCAGAAAGATGTTTCTGTTATTATTATTATTTTTTTAGATGGAATCTCCCTCTTGTCGGGACTGGAGTGCAGTGGCAAAAATTATCCTGCCTCAGCCTCCCTAGTAGCTGAGATTCCAGACGTGCACCACCATGCCTGGCTAATTTTTGTATTTTTAATGGAGACGGGGTTTCATCATGTTGGACAGCTGGGTCTCAAACTATTGACCTCAGGTGATCCGCCCGCCTCGGTCTCCCGAAGTGCAAGGATTACAGGCTGAGCCACTGCGCCTGGCCATTTCTGTTGTTTTTGTACTTTTTTGAGGCTATCTGAAATGAAGTTCGGTTTATGTATTTTCAGTGTTACTCAAATTGTTTTTTCTTTTTCTTTTTTTTTGAGATGAGTCTCACTCTGTCTCTCAGGCTGGAGTGCAGTGGTGTGATCTTAGCTCACCGCAACCTCTGCCTTCCCAGTTCAAGCAATTTTCCTGCCTCAGCCTCCCAAGTAGCTGGGATTAACAGACATGCACAACCATGCCCGGCTAATTTTTGTATTTTTAGTAGAGACAGGGTTCTACCCTGTTGGCCAGGCTGGTCGAACTCTGCTGGGATTATAGGCGTGAGCCACTGTCCCTGACCTCAAACTGTTTTTGAAGTAGATAAGATGTAGATCATAAGATTATCTTTCAGGATTGTTTGAAAAACATAGTGGAATTTTAGTTACTCTATGCAAAGTCTAATCAGGTTGATAATGTTGCATTGCTTCAGTGTCTGAATAAATAGATTCTTCAAATGTTAGAGCTAGATAAGACCCTAGCAGTTGTACAGTCTCCTCATTTTCAGATAAAGGAACTGGAGCTTTAGAAATGCCAAGTCAATGCCTAAGGTCACTCACAGAGTTAATGACCCAGTTGAGTCTAGAATACAGATTTGCCACCTGCTAGTTTAGTGCTTGTTCTGCCACATCATGCTGTTTAATAAAGGGGGTTGGGGGAAGGGCATGCCTAGAGCTAATTACTACAACCAGCATGGGTTTTCTGAGAGTGGCCTTGGCATTTGCCTACTGTTTCATTCTTAAAGGTTTCTGAAATTATTTGGGGGCTTTGAAATACTTTGCTGTAATAAATGTACTGAGCAGTTACCACCACTGCTTAATACGCCCTTACCAGTTATTTAGTCTTTACAACATCCTCTTGAGGTTTAGGTACTGTTGACCCATTTTGCAGATGAGAAAATTAAGGCTCAGTAAAGCTAAATAACTTAGGTCACATCCATGAGAGGAGCGAGGCCTAGAATCTAGGTCATTTCAAAGTTTATTTTAGTAGTGACTGCTAGAACTTTCCTTGTTATTTTGTATTAAGTAGACTGAGACTCTTCAGAAACTGGGCCCATGAGCTTGGACTACAGCATTTTTCTGTTCTGTTTCAGTAGTAGTAGAATAACATTTGTCATAAGTAGGCAATGCTCTAATTTAAAGCAATATTTTGAAATTACTTATTTTTACATTTTAGCAAGTGTTGATGTAAAATACTTTAAAACAGCTCTGTTCATCACTGTCTGTACCAGTGTGCTTTTTTATTTTTAGAGTGTTAAGTAATTAAGGCAAACCATCCACATTTTTTATGTGTTCTGCAGACTCCTTTCTGGTGTTTGCTTTTACTGTTTTTCATTATTGTCTATGGGGAAAAAAATGCCTCAGCTTGCAAATTTTGTTAAGAGATGGAATCTTGCTCATTCTTTGCTGTTGGAGGGATTTTCATGAAAAAAATTCAAGAAACATTGTCTTGTGTGACGTTACGAGATAAGTGCCTATTAAGAATTGCTGGCTGTTGGATTTATCATCTCAGCCTAATTTTCTTCCTGAGATAAATGAATCTTGCTTTTTTGTCATTACAACCCTGGCTAATCCAATGGAAATATAATATGAACCACATAGTTAATTTAACTTTTATTTCTTTAATTTCATTTTTTTGAGACAGAGTCTCACATCGTTGGACAGGCTGGAGGCACAATCCTAGGTCATTGTAGCCTCAACTTCCTGGGCTTAAGCGATCCTCTTGCCTCAGCCTCCTGAATTGGGACTACAGCTATATGCCTCCATGCCTAATTTTTTTTCTTTTTTTTCTTTTGAGATGGAGTCTCGCTCTGTCGCCCAGGATGGAGTGCAGTGGCATAATCTCGGCTTACTGCAACCTCCACTTCCCGGGTTCAAGTGATTTTCTTGCCTCAGCTTCCTGAGAGGCTGGGATTACAGGCGTGAGCCACTGCTCCCGGCCACGCCTGGCTAACTTTAAAAATTTTTTTGTAGAGACAGAGCCTCACTGTGTTGCCCAGGTTGGTCTTGAACTCTTGGTCTCAAGCAGTCCTCCTACCTCAGCCTCCCAAAGTGCTGGATTGATAGGTGGGAGCCATCACACCTGGCCCACATCTCCTGAGTACAGTACTTCCCTAACCTCTTCTTAGAAAGCTAGCACATTTAAAATTGTTTTCACTCTTTTGAACCCTAATGGAAATGAAATGAATGTACAGATGGAGGCTAGGGTTCCTAGTCAGAAAAGTGAAATGAGGCCAGGCACGGAGGCTCACACTTGAACCTGGGAGGTAGAGGCTGCAGTGAGCCAAGATCGTGCCACTGCACATTATTAGCCTGGGTGACAGAATGAGACTCCATCTCAAAAAAAAAAAAAAAAAGAAAAGTGAAAAAGTAAAGTGATGTGACTGGAAGGAACCAGTGTGAAAATCAAAGGAAAACAAATAATTCAGTAAAAATTGATTGTATATTTATTCTATACATCATCCCAACTTCTTGAGACTGCAGAAGCAGAGAAAAAAATCTCCATGTTTCAGAAATTCATCCACCCACAGTTCATTCTGGAAGTTCATACCCTAGGGAACAAGAACTAAGCTACATGTGTATCTATAATTTATTCATTTTTGTTGTTTTTTGAGATGGAGTCTCCCTCTGTCACCCAGGCTGGAGTGCAGTGATTCGATCTTAGCTCACTGCAACCTCCACCTCCTGGGTTCAAGTGATTCTCCTGACTAAGCCTCCCTGAGTAGGTGAGACTACAGGTGTGCACCACCATGCCCGGCTAATGTGTTTTGTATTTTTAGTCGAGTTTTTTGTATTTTCACCATGTTGGCCAGGCTGATCTCAAACTCTTGACCTCAGGTGATCCTCCTTCCTTGGCCTTGAAAAGTGCTGGGATTACAGGAGTGAGCCACTGTGCCCAGCCATACTTATTTAAATGTTTTGCAGACAGAGTCTTGCTCTGTCATCCAGGCAACCTCTGCCTCCCTGCTGGAAGCCATTCTCCCACCTCAGCCTCCCAAGCAGCTGGGATTACAGGTGTGTGCCACCAGACACACACCTGGCTAATTTTTATATTTTTTAGTAGAGATGGAGTTTTAGCATGTTGGCCAGGCTGGTCTCAAATTTCTGACCACAAGTGATCCGCCCACCTCAGCCTCCCAATGTACTGGAGTTACAGGTACAGGTGTGAGCCATTGCACCTAGTTCCCCTGTGTGTGTCTAGTTTAAAGAGGTATCATGTCCTAGAGGAGTGATGATTTACCGTCAGGGTGGGGGATGGGCAGATAATGGGCTAGAAATGGAAGATTAGGTAGGAAGTATCTATTACAATTAAGGAGAATCCTTGAGCTAGAACTGTGTAATCAAAGTATAGTCGAGGACCACATGTGGCTATTTAAATTTATGAAAATCAAATTTAAAATTCAGTTCCTCATAACAGCCATGTTTCCAGTGCTTAATAACAACATGTGGCTGGTGACTGTCCTATCACAGCACAGATATAAAACATTTCCATCACTACAGAAACTTGGACAGAATTTTGTCACACATATTTCTCACTTTTCTTGCAATGTAAGACACTTCTGTGACAGCACTGAAGTTATATTTTTCTTTAATGAACACACTATTTAGCTAACAAAACTAAAATTTTAGTTAGGATGGCTGTGTTTGCTGTTGTTTGATACAGGGTCTTGTTCTGTCACCCAGGCTGGAGTGCCAGGGGTGTGATCACGGCTCACTGCAGCCTCCACCTTCCAGGTTCAAGTGACTCTCCTGCCTGGGACTACAGGCTTGTGCCACTACACCTGGCTGATTTCAAAATTTTTTGTAAGGACGAAGTCTCCTTGTGTTTCCCAGGCTGTTTGCAAAACTCCTGGCCTCAAGCGATCCTCCTGCCTCGCCTCCCAGAGTGTTGGTTTTACTGGCATGAGCCACTACATCCAGCCTAAGGATTAGTTTTGTATCTAAAGCAGGACGAATGTAAATTGCTGATTTATGAAATATACGCATCAAGCACTTTTTAAGCATTAGCCAAACATTTGTGTTTAAAACATGTAACTTGAATCAAAACATAGCTTTTCTTACCTGTTGTGATATCTGTGGCCTTGACTGACATGCTGTGTCAATGTGCTGGCCAAGTAGGATTTTCCATATTCAAGTTCTTTGGTCCATGATCAAAGCTTTAAAAAAAAAAATTGTTTACCTTTTTTAAAAATTGAAGCAAAATCCGCAGAACATAAACTGGCCAGGTGCAGTGGGTCACAACTGTAATCCCAGCACTTTGGGAGACTGAGGTGGGAAGATCATGAGGCCAGGAGATCCAGATCATCCTTGCCAACATGGTGAAACTGTCTCTACTTAAATACAAAAAATTAGCCAGTCGTCGTGGCTTGTATCTGTAGTCCCAGCTACTTTGGAGGCTGAGGCAGTGGAATCGCTTGAACCTGGCAGACGGAGGTTGCAGTGAGCCGAGATGGTGCCACTGCACTACAGTCTGGGCGACAGAGCAAGACTCTGTTTCAAAAAACAAAAACATAAAACTAACCATTTTAAAGTGAACATTTCAGTGGCATTTAGTATATTCACACTGTGTTGTACAACCAGCACTTCCATCTAGCTCTAAAACATTTCCTTTTTTTTTTTCTTTGAGACAGGGTCTCATTCAGGTTGAGTGCAGACTGCAGTGGGGCGATCTTGGTTCACTGCAACCTCCACCTCCGGGTTCAAGTGATCCTTCCACCTCAGCCTCCCAAGTAGCTGGCACTACAGACATGTGCCACCACACCAAGCTAATTTTTAATTTTTTTTTGAGACAGAGTCTCAATCTGTTGCCCAGGTTAGAGTGTGGTGGTGTGATTTTGGCTCACTGCAACCTCCACCTCCCAGGTTCAAGTGGTTCTCCTGCCTCAGCCTCCTGAGTAGCTAGGATTACAGGCACCGTCACCATGCCCAGCTAATTTTTGTATTTTTTTTTAGTAGAGATAGGGTTTCGCCATGTTGACCAGGCTGGTCTCAAACTCGACCTCGTGATCTGCCTGCCTCAGCTTCCCAAAGTGCTGGGATTAGTCATGAGCCACCATGCCTGACCTTAAATTTTTTATAGAGACAGGATTTCATTGTGTTTCCCAGACTGGCCTCCAACTCCTGGGCTTAAGCAATCCACCACCTCAGCCTCCCAAAGTGCTGGGATTACAGGTGTGAGCCACTGCGCCTGGCCTCCAAAACATTTTAATCACCTCAAAAGAAAACCCATATTGATTTTGCAGTTACTGCCCACTCTCTCTCAGCTTCCAGAAGCCACCAGTCTTTTCTGTCTCTGTAGATTTACGTCTTCTGAATAATTCATATCAATGGGATCACAGAATATGTGGCCTTTGTGTTGTTTCACCATAATCAAATTTTAAGTATCAATTTTAACATCCAGTTTATCAGGCCAGGCGTGGTGGCTTATCCCTGTAATCCCAGCACTTTGGGAACTGAGAAGGACGAATCACATGAGGTGAGGAGTTTGAGACCATCCTGACCAACATGGTGAAATCCCATCTCTACTAAAAATACAAAAAATTAGCCAGGCATGGTGGGACATGCCTGTTGTCCCAGCTACTTGGAAGGCTGAGGCAGGAAAATTGCTTCAACCTGGGAATTGGAGGTTGCAGTGAGCTGAGATCTTGCCATTGCACTCCAGCTTGGGCAACAAGAGGGAAACTCCGTCTCAAAAAGAAAAAAAAAATCCAGTTATCATTTGTGTCACAGGCAGTATTGCTGGTTGGCTGTCTTCTGGTAAAGTCTTTTTACTTCATGTTTTAAAATTTGTGGTAGTATAGTAAGTATCACAGCCAATTCATTAAACTTCCTTTATTATAAATTATACTGTTTTTCCTATTTTTTTTTTTTTTTTTTTTAGATGGAATGCTCTTGTTGCTTCGGCTGGAGTGCAGTTGTGTGATCTCAGCTCACTGCAACCTCTGCCTCCCAGGTTCAAGCAATTCTCCTGCCTTAGCCTCCAGAGTAGCTGGGATTACAGGCACATGCCAACACACCTGGCTAATTTTTTAATTTTTAGTAGAGATGGGGTTTCATCCTATTGGTCAGGCTGGTCTCAAACCCCTGAACTCAGGTAATCCATCTGCCTCGGCCTCCCAAAATGCTGGGATCACAGGCATGAGCCACCGTGCTCAGCCTAGTTTTTTTTTTCTCTCTTTTTTGAGACAGGGTCTCACTCTGTCACCCAACCTGGAACGCAGTTGTGCAATTTTGGCTCACTGCGACCTCTGCTACTCGGTCTTAAGCAGTTCTCCTGCCTCAGCCTCCTGAGTAGCTGGGACTACAAGCATTGAGCTATATCCCCAGCCTAATTTTTGTATTTTTTATAGAGATGGGGTTTCACCATGTTGCCCAAGCTGGTCTCAATCTTAGTTTTTCCTTTTAATTTGGGGAATGGCAGTTGCACTCAGTGGTATGCTCTGACAGCTTTTTTCACTTTTAAAATAGTTAATAAAGGTGTGTTTCTAAACATAGAGATAACATTGGAAAATTTGAAACCATAATTTCATTCCTTGGGAGGGTTTCTGACTTCTTTTACTAGCAGCTGTGAACAGTGCAGGATGTGAGAAATTACATCCTAATCATCTATTTCCTAGCCATGAACAGTTCAATTAAGGAAAATTCTAAGCCCATGTTCATTAGTAGCCATTAAAATCTGGATGTCATATGCATCATGAATTAGACCAGAGTAGAATGAACAAGTAAGGGTTTACTGTGTGTTCATGAAGACAGGGTAGAAATATATATATCGGTTTTATTTGTATTTTTTCAGACAGGGTGTCACTCTCTCACCCAGGCTGGAGTGCAGAGGTGCAATCACAACTCATTGCAGCCTTGACCTCCCTGGCTCAGCCCCCTGAGCAGCTGGGACTATAGGCACATGCCACCACTCTGGCAAATTTTTTTTATACAGATGGGGTTTTGCCATGTTGCCCAGGCTGGTCACAAACTCCTGCCATCCTCCCATCCTCTGGACAACCAGAGGGTTGGGACTACAGGCATGAGCCACGATGCCCAACCCATTTTCAACTTACAATCCATTGTAAGTTCAGGAGCCATCTGTATTGTAAATCTAATAGTTGGTGATAGGAACCAAGTGGTCAGATGTAAGTACTGTTTCATTTCGAAAAGCTGTTAAGAGTTAGGGATACACTTGAGAGTGGTAGGGAAGCCTACCATACCAATCATATTCTTGTATGAAGATATGCGGTACATCATAACTGTATGTCCATTATAGCTCAGTTTACTTGTACACTGATTTTCAGCAGGGCCTATCTGATGGCACTAGCATAACTTTGAAATTCCTGCAGTTGATTCTGATGTGCCTGTATGTTAGATGGTAGTGATTATACCATCTGTTTCATAGGGCTTTTGGTGGGGTGAGCTAGTAACTGGCACATAGGGCTCAATAAAAATTAGAGCAAATTGCTACCACCTACAGCCCTACCCCCAACGCAATATAGATTTGTGAGTCTTTTTTATCCTTGTCTGGCCCATAATAGATACTTAATACATATTTATTTATATTAATTATTATTATTTTTTTGAGATGGAGTTTTACTTTTGTTGCCCAAGCTGGAGTACAGTGATGCGATCTTGGCTCACTGTAACATCTGCCTCCCAGGTTCAAGCAGTTCTCCTGCCTCGGCCTCCCCAATAGCTGAGATTACAGGTGTATGCCATGCCTGGTTAATTTTTTTGTATTTTTAGTAGAGATGGAATTTCACCATGTTTGCCATGCTGGTCTTGAACTCTGGAATTTCACCATGTTGGCTACGCTGGTCTTGAACTCCCAAACTCAAATGATCCACCCCCCATCGGCCTCCCAGAAAAAGTGTGGGATTACAGGCATGAGCCACCTTGTCTGGCTAATAGTACATATTGGTAGGATTGAGTTGGAGTAGTTTTATAGCAGGTGGACACTGACATTTGTTGAATATCTACTACATGCCAGGAGTTCTTTAACTGACACTAAACAAATTATTCTCTCACTTCCTCCCATAAACTCCTCAACAATCCTCTCCTTGACCTCCCTGGTTAGATGGTTTATCATGCCCACAATTTCAATGGAATAAGTTTATTCACAGCTTGTGATAAGCCAGGAGTTAAACCTAGGAGTCAGCTCAGTTCCAGACTCTAAGAGTACCCCATCCTGTCACCTCCTTTCTAGGATGGCCTATGAACTCTCAGTACTGCCTGGCTTTCTCTGAAAACTGAGTAATTTTTCCTTACCTTACCCTTAAAACTTTTCTTCAAAATAGAAAAGCAAAAAAATGAAAGGTTAATCTGTATTGTGTCTGAAGTACATTTTCTCTCTCCTTCCAAACCAGGTTCAAATGAGTTTCCCCCATTTGTGAATATGCTACTCATCCCACAGCTTGGGGTCATCTTAGACCATCTGTTCTCCCTTTCTCCCAACTCCTGTCAGGGGTAGCCCTCCTGTCCTCCCAGTTGAATTGCTCAGTTGTCTCCATGGCATGCTTTCTTGCAGTGGTGATGCAGGTCTTCCTGCCTGTGGGGCCTTTCCCACTCTAGTTCATGTAGTTTAAGCTGCAAGAAAAAGATCTTCCTGAGTGACAATCTGAGCCTGTCACTTAAAAAACAACTTGGTTGTCCTTTACCTATCGGGGCAGGAAATGACTTTACTCCACATTTGATGCTATTGAAAGTTGGGCCCAAAACACTTTCTCTTGACTCTTACTGGTGTTGATCCTTTCCGGGCAATGATTTTGCAGGTTACACATTCTCATTATTTTTTCATACTTGCTGCGCATGATTTGTGTGATTTAATTCTTTGGTGTCTTTTTCTGTCGTGGAGATTCTTTAAAGCAGGGGTACATTCATATTGGAGTATAATTTAGGTTTGTCTATATCTGACAAACTAAAATAAAAAAGCAGACTTAGATATTTGGCTTTTAGTATGTATTTCTCCTACATCTCTTCCAGTAATGTCATAAATAAATTTGCAGTGTTACAACTGGTAACTGTATTGTTGCTTGGTCTTAGAGTTCTAGTGTAGGAAAAAATTGGCATCACTGGAATCACCTTTTCTGCAGCTGTTTTAAGGGCTTATATGTATTTTAGGGCTTTATACAAATGTCATTTATCTTATTGGTATTTTTTTTATTCAGGGATTTTGATAACATGAGTATGGAATACTAAAAAGGGCTAATCACAGGCCGGGCACGGTGGCTTACACCTGTAATCCTGACACTTCGGGAGTCTGAGGCAGGTAGATCACCTGAGGTTGGGAGTTGAGACCAGCCTGACCAACATAGAAAAACTCTATCTATACTAAAAATATAAAATTAGCCGGGCGTGGTGGCATGCACCTCTAGTCCCAGCTCCTTGGGAGGCTGAGACAGGAGAATCACTTGAATCTGGGAGGAGGAGGTTGTAGTGAGCCGAGATTGCACAATTGCACTCCAGCCTGTGCAACAAGAGTGAAACTCAGTGTCAAAACAAAAGGGGGGATAATCATAGCCTTCTTGGGCTAGATTTCCAAGAGAGAATCGAGACGTAGATTTGTATTTGTTGAGCACATCTCTAATTTGATCTGTGCTGTGCTTCAGATTATTACTTTGACAGTATCTGTGAAGAAAAGGTTTATAAAGCAAATAAAAAGAACAAGCATGCTTTTATGAATACATTGAAACTACTGAAATGTTTCAAAATTGGCTGTAATTGGTAGAATTTTGAAAAATAGGTTAAGCAGAGACTTCTAATTTTAAGGCTTGAGTTAGCTGCCATTGATCTGGGTTACTGATTGAGGCTTCTGTTGTGTTATTGAACTCCTATTTTTACTACATATTAAAAGATAAGTGAAATGGATGGATAAATGTCAATTTTTAATAGAACTTATTTCTGTTAAACAGCACCTGTGGAATCCTCTCAAGAGGAGCAGTCGTTGTGTGAAGGTAATAATGTACTCTCTGAAAGTCTACTTACGAAAACATTAGGTTGTCTATGGTGTGTAAAGCTAGATACTGTTTTGTAAATATATATTATATCTCAATCTCTTGTCTAGGTTCAAATTCAGCAGTTAGCATGGAACTTTCAGAACCTGTTGGTAAGAAATTTCTGTCCATATTAATACAGTAATATGAAACTCTTTCACTCTCAAGATTTAAGGTGCAAATGTAAGTTGTTATCATTATCGTAATGACTACATTTAAGACACATTAAGTCTTTGCTATTAATATTTAGAAAGCAGAACAAACTAGGCACTAGCACTGCCTTGATAAACTTAGTGATTCCAAATACAATCGAGTAGAGGAATGCTAAAGTCAATTTAAATACCTGTACACATTCTGTTTTCTTTTTCTTTTTCCTTTTTTTTTTAATTTCACCTGGGTGCAGGTGGGCTAAGGCCGAAAAGGGCGTTAGCCATGCGCATTACATTTTCTTGGTGAAAAATGTTCTTCCTTTTTATAACTATATGGTTAAGGGTTTTATGTTCCCAGGGTGATTAGAGTTGATGCCAAAGTTTTATTACTTAAAGAAAATACCTCCTAAATCCTTTGATACTTTTCCTGTGTCACGATTTCTTTCCTTTTTTTTCCTATTATCAGGGTGTCTCAACACTGAAATAATTAGGCTGTCGGGAATGTTAGAACTCTTGTTTACATTTTGTTTGTCCTTATGAAAATGAAGCTTTGCTAAAATAACAATCTTTCATAGCCTATGAGTCAGTGTTCTCTGATCTGATATTAGCAGTGAGGCTGCCTTGAAAGCTGTCAACCATTTCTGTTATGAAAGAGGTTTTCCTGCTTTTGTGTCACTAGGCATTAGAAAATGAAACTATATATACAAAGTTCCATTTGTTGTTTTAAATTATGTATTTTAAAGTATAGATTATAGTCTTTTTCAGAATACTAAGTTAAAATGTCTTCCTTCAGTAGAAAATGGAGAGACAGAAATGTCCCCAGAAGAATCATGGGAGCACAAAGAAGAAATAAGTGAAGCAGAGCCAGGGAGTGGTTCCTTGGGAGATGGAAGGCCACCAGAGGAAAGTACACATGAAATGATGGAGGAGGAAGAGGAAATCCCAAAACCTAAGTCTGTGGTTGCACCGCCTGGTGCTCCTAAGAAAGAGCATGTAAATGTAGTATTCATTGGGCATGTAGGTGAGTTGCACTCATGGCAATTAAAGTTACTGGTACATCAAACCAAGAACATCCTTTTTAGCTACTTGGAGGTGTTTAGTGAAACTGAAGTGAGTTAATTGAAAGTGTCTTGATTTTTAACTTGCTGGATTTTTTTTTAGCTGGCAAAAACTTGCAAGTAGTTTTTCTTGATGTTTAGGCATCAACTTCAAGAAAATGTAATGGCATAGGTGCTGGAAGAAAACTTTCAATAGATTGTACATGACATATAATTAGACTATTGACCATTGATGGTGGTTCAGCATAGTATGACATCAATTAATACCTTAGAAAATGTGCCTTTTTAAAATATGAACCTCAGTTAATTTTAATGGGATTGATCTTACTAGATAGCTTAATTTTGTGTGAAGCAGAAAATCAATAGTTTGGGGTAATTTCTGGTTGCTTGCCAGGTTGCTGGTTTAGCGAAAAACAAAAGAACAAATTTCAAAGTGTAAAGGCGTGGCAGGGTGCAGTGGCTCATACCTGTAATCCCAGCACTTTGGGAGTCCAAGTGGGCAGATCACAAGGTCAGGAGTTCGAGATCAGTCTGGCCAACATGGTGAAACCTCATCTCTACTAAAAATACAAAGATTAGCCGGGCATGGTGGTGCATGCCTGTAATCCCAGCTACTCAGCAGCGTGAGGCAGGAGAATTGCTTGAACCCGGGAGCCGAAGGTTGTAGTAAGCTGAGATAGCACCATTGCACTCCAGCTCTGGGCGACAGAGCAAGACTCTATCGTGAAAACAAAACAAAACAAAACAAAAGCTGTAAAGGACCACATAACCTATTTGCTGTAAGTGAAAAGAAAAGCACCTAACTGTAGTTCACAGCTCTTCAGCTGCTTTTGCTCTCTGAAACTCCTCTTGGGGAATTTATATTCTGCTGCCCCTGTGCTTCCAGAGTAATCTGTTAAAAAATTATTTCCTGGCTGGGCGCGGTGGCTCAAGCCTCTAATCCCAGCACTTTGGGAGGCCGAGGCAGGTGGATCACAAGGTCAAGAGATCAAGACCATCCTGGTCAACATGGTGAAACCCCGTCTCTACTAAAAATACAAAAAATTAGCTGGGCATAGTGGCTCGTGCCTGTAATCCCAGCTACTCAGGAGGCTGAGGCAGGAGAATTGCTTGAACCCAGGAGGCGGAGGTTGCAGTGAGCCAAGATCGCGCCATTGCACTCCAGCATGGGTAACAAGAGCAAAACTCCGTCTCAAAAAAAAAAAAAATGTATTTCCTTTATCAGTAAAGTATTTCTAAGTCATTATTGAGCCTCATTTTCTTTTTTCTTTCTTTTCGCTCTTGTGGCCCAGGCTGGAGTGTAATGGCGTGATCTCAGCTCACTGCAACCTCTGCCTCCTGGGTTCATGCAATTTTCCTGCCTCAGCTGTCCAAGTAGCTAGGATTACAGGCGCCCACCATCACACCTAGCTAATTTTTGTATTTTTTACTAGAGATAGGGGGTTTCACCATGTTGGCCAGGCTGGTCTCAAACTCCTGACCTCAGGTGATCCGCCCACCTCACTCAGCCTACCAAAGTGCCAGGATTACAGGCGTGAGCCACTGTGTCCATCCTTGAGCCTCATTTTCAAAAGGAGAAGGATAACGAACTGGGATTTATGCCCCCAATTCATTTGGAAGATTTAATTATGTATGTTAAAGGTTGCTGTTGTTTGCATATGTAGCCATTGGTTTTTGTTTTTAACATCTGGTTTGCATGTTTATCTTACTTTTAGATGCTGGCAAGTCAACTATTGGAGGACAAATAATGTAAGTCTGTATTTTTTGTTAAATAACAGAGTTAGTGTGATTGAATTTTAGGCATTGTAAACATTCATACAGTCACACAAAGGAGATAAAAAGGGTCCCCCCAGGAAAAATTAATAATAAAATTACTGGTAGGTAATACTTACGTTAAGAAGTGATTTTTGGCCTGGTGTAGTGGAACACACCTGTAATACCAGCATTTTGAGGCTAAGGTGGGAGGATCACTTCATTTGAGATTTGAGTTTGAGACCAGCCGGGGCAACACAGTGAGACTCTGTCTCTACTTTAATTTAAAAAAAAAAAAAAAAAAAAAAGTAGTTTTTGTAATGTGATTATTGCTAGTGTTAAATGTGTTTCTGAAAGCTTTTTACATTTTTAAAAAATAAAAAATGAACATAGAACCCTTGGAACCCTAGATTATGGGAAATCTTAGTCTGCTTTGAATGTAACATATATGGGAATAACAAAAATCATCTCTTGAAACTGGTGAATGGGGGAAGTGCTTTTTCCTCATTCATCAGCTCCTTAAATGTTTATGGATTTAATAAAAGAGATATAGACCAGCTAACATGCTAAGATAATTCTTTGATCATATTATAGAAATTTTCTAGGTATGAAATTACCATGGCCAGCCTCTAGTAAAGCATTTTAGTATTGACAAATCTTGATAATTAAAGAATCCTACAGTTTTAATTGGTTCTCTAAATTAGGCCCATTTCTTCAAACTGTGTAATCATAGGGCCTAGAGGGCATGCCATCATCTTTCCTAAATAATTTTTTTTTGGGGGGTTGACGTCCTGGACCCAAGCAGTCCTTCCACTTCAGCCTCCCAAGTAGGTGGGATTACAGGTGCATGTGACCAGGCCTGGTTAATTGGTTAATTTTTTTACTTTTTGTAGAGGTAAGGTTTTGCCAGGTTGCCTAAGCTGGTCTTGACCTCTTAGGTCAAGTGATCTGCCCACCTCTGCCTCCCAAAGTGCTGGGATACAGGTGTGATTAACTACCTGTATCCAGTACAGGTAGATTAACTACACCTGACTAATCATCATTGGTAATATTGCCAGTTACTTCTGAACATTTCCACAACAGAGACCCTAAGACAGGCTGTTAAACAAAGGTCCTGTCACATCCATTAAATGTTATGATTCAGGACAGTGTGTATGTTTTGGTGATAGGCTGTAATTTTTGGTGGCATCACACAGGGTTTCCACATGCAAATGCTTAGGTGCAATGCACTATGGATGTTTACATGGAAAACACAAATGAAAGCTATAGGGAAAGGAGGGCTTTGATTTGGATTGAGTCAAGGGAAGTATGCATTATTAAAGAACTATTCTAAAACTATGATCTCATTTTGACAAGTAATACTAATAAGACTTCATTGCCTAGACAACATTGTTACAATTTTTTTTTCTTTTCTGTGGTACCTATATTTAAATTTACTTTCGTGTGTGTCTCTGTGTGTGTGTGTGTGTGTGTGTGTCTGTGAGAGAGAGAGAGAGAGAGAGAGAGAGAGACGGAGTTTTGCTCTGTCACCCAGGCTGGAGTGCAGTGGCGTGATCTCAGCTCACTACAACCGCCGCCTCCCTGGTTCAAATGATTCTCCTGCCTTAGCTTCCTGAGTAGTTGGGATTACAGGTGCCTGCCACCAGGCCCGACTAACTTTTTGTATTTTAAGTACAGATGGGGTGGGGGTTTCACTGTGTTAGCTAGGATGGTCTTCATCTTCTGACCTCATGATCCACCTGCCTCAGCCTCCAAAAGTGTTGGGATTACAGGCGTGAGCCACTGCACCCGGCCTAATTTTATTTTTAAATTTACTTGGCTGGGCATGGTGGCTCATACCACTGCCAAAGCGGAAGCCTTGAGTCTGGGCTTCGAGAACAGCCTGGACAACATAGTGAGACCCTCATTTCTATAAAATATACAAATAAAACTATATTTATTTTAAGAAATAGGGTCTTGCTGTGTTGCCCAGGCTGGTGGGCAGTGGCTATTTATAGGAGGATCGTAGCACACGATAGCTTAAAACTCCTGTGCTCAACTGATCATCCTACCTCAGCCTCCCAAGTAGCTAGGACTACACGCATGCACCACCACGCCCATCTTATATTTACCTAAAAAAACCAAAACTTCTATATTCTGAAATAATTTTACATTTACGGAATGGTTGCAAAACAGTACAGGAAGTTCCCTTCATTCATCCTGCCCTGATGTTAACATCTTATAACCATTTTTATTCATCAAAACTTCCTTATTACTGGTGAAATTAGTCATGATTACTTGGTTAAGGTGTCATCTGTCAAGATTGTCCACTATAAGGCTGTTTTTTACCTTTATTTTATTTTATTTATTTATTTTTGAGAAAGGGGCTGGAGAGCAACTGTGTAATCGTGGCTCACTGCAGCCTCCACCTCTTGCACTCAGGCAGTCCTCCCCGCTCAGCTTTCCAAAGTGCTGAGGTTATAAGCATGAGCCACCACACGTGGCCTTTTTTTTTTTTTTTTTTTTTTTTTTTAAAGAGATAGGGTCTTGCTCTTAAACACAAGCTAGAGTGCAGTGGTGGAATCATAGCTTACTGTAACCTCAGCCTCCTGAGTAGCTAGGACTACAGGTATGCATTACCACACCTGGCTAATTTTTTAATATTTTTGTAGAGATGGTTTCACTCTGTTGCACTGGCTGGTCTCAAACTCCTGGCCTCAAGGGATCCTCCCACAGTGCTGGGATTATGGGCATGAGCCATCACACCTGGACACTTTATCTGATAATTTCAGACTGTAAATACCCTTTTTTTCATCTAAACTTTCCATACTTTTAGTATCCACCAGTAGTACCTTTACTTTAACTATTCTGTGGCCAGGTGCGGTGGGTCTCACACCTGTAGTCCCAGCACTTTGGGAGGCAGAGGCAGGCAGATCAGTTGAGTTCAGGAGTTGGAGACCAGCCTGGCCAACATGGTGAAACCCTGTCTCTACTAAAAATAGAAAAAATTAGCCAGGTATGGTTAATCCCAGCTACTTGGGAGGCTGAGACAGGAGAACTACTTGAACCCAGGAGGCGGAGGTTGCAGTGAGCTATCACGCCACTGCTTTCCAGTCTGGGCAACAAAGCAAGACCCTGTCCTCTCAACAATTTTAACATTTTTCTCATTCCACTGAGTAATTTGTAGTAGTTTACTTATGTTATTCTTTAAATGTTTTCAGGTATTTGACTGGAATGGTTGACAAAAGGACACTTGAAAAGTATGAAAGAGAAGCTAAAGAGAAAAACAGAGAAACTTGGTATAGTACACTTTTATGACACTAATATTAAATTACGTTTAAGGAAACGATGCCTACTTAGTGCTTCTGTAGCCTTTTAAAATATAAATTGTTGAAGTCTAAAATGGTATAGCAAAGGAAATTTCCCGTCTTCATAATACACAGTAGATTAGTTCCTAACGACTTAATAACTTACACTGGGAAATTTGGAAATGATCCATACATCTGGTGATAGACTTAACAGTATTATAAACCATACATTTAATTGGGTCATTCTGCAACCACTAAAAACTGACATTTACACAATTTATAGTAACCATGAATAGAACTTGCATTGTGGTGGCATTTGGGGGAAAAGGAGAAAATGTCACTGTACTTAAGATCTGACCATATGTAAATAAATGCTGGAAACAGAATGGAATGGAATTGTTGACAGTGGTTGCCTTTGAATGGTGAGAGAGTCGACTTTTTTCTATTTTCTAACATTATTATTACTTTTATTTTTAAAAAGTTAGCAAGCCTTATCTCAGTGAGATATTGATGGTCATTTTTTAAAAAATAGCCGGGCGCGGTGGCTCAAGCCTATAATCCCAGCACTTTGGGAGGCCGAGGCGAGTGGATCACGAGGTCAAGAAATCGAGACCATCCTGGTCAACATGGTGAAACCCCGTCTCTACTAAAAATACAAAAAGTTAGCTGGGCATGGTGGTGCGTGCCTGTAATCCCAGCTACTCAGGAGGCTGAGGCAGGAGAATTGCCTGAACCCAGGAGGCGGAGGTTGCGGTGAGCCGAGATCACTCCATTGCACTCCAGCCTGGGTAACAAGAGCGAAACTCCGTCTCAAAAAAATAAAAATAAAAATAAAATAAAATAAAAAATAAAATTATATTCCTCTATAATAAGGAGAAAATCCTAGTCAATTTTGTTGTAAAAAATTGAGTTCATACTATGAAATACAGATGATGAGGTAATCTAAATTAATGCCTACGATTATGGATGGTTTGAATTTACATAAATTTTTGCTTGGCAGTGTAATACTGAAGCAATGTTTAGCAGGTATCCATGACTCCCACATGATGGGTTAGTAGCTTTGACTTTTGAAAAATAACTGAGGACAGTTATTTTTTATTTATTAAAAAGTTTTATTGGGCCAGATGTGGTGATTCACGCCTGTAATCTCAGCATGTTGGGAGGCCGAGACAGGCAGATCACCTCAGGTCAGGTGTTCGAGGCTTGGCCAACATGATGAAACCCTGTCTTTACTAAAACTACAAAAATTAGCCAGGCGTGGTGGTGGGTGCCTGTAATACCGAAGCTACTCGGGAGGCTGAGGCAGGAGAATCACTTGAACCCAGGAGGCGGAGGTTGCAGTGAGCTAAGATCATACCACTGTACTTCAGCCTGGGTGACAGAGCAAGACTCTGTCCCAAGACAGCCATTATAAAAATGAAGTAATAAGGCCGGGCGCGGTGGCTGAAGCCTGTAATCCCAGCACTTTGGGAGGCCGAGGCGGGTGGATCACGAGGTCGAGAGATCGAGACCATCCTGGTCAATATGGTGAAACCCTGTCTCTACTAAAAATACAAAAAATCAGCTGGGCATGGTGGCGCGTGCCTGTAATCCCAGCTACTCAGGAGGCTGAGGCAGGAGAATTGCCTGAACCCAGGAGGCGGAGGTTGCGGTGAGCCGAGATTGCACCATTGCACTCCAGCCTGGGTAACAAGAGCAAAACTCCATCTCAAAAAAACAAAAAACAAACAAACAAACAAACAAACAAAAAAATGAAGTAATAAGGGAGTTCATTATCACTTAACACACAGTGTTAGGCACCATGTGTAAAAATGAATAGGAAACCATCTGTTTCATAGGGTCTTCAGTCATTCTGTGATTTTCACAATGTACTGGCACTAGATCACAAATTTTTTTCCTTTGAAGTTACAATGGCATCTGTATTTAGTCTTTCTGTGTATGTTGAACTTATAAATAATGTTCTAGACTGTATAATTGACCATTTATATAAAAGTTGTAAGGGTTTGAATCAATATAATACCAGTTTTATTCTTTCAATTTTTTTTTTGAGAAATTCTTGCTCTGTTGCCCAGGTTGGAGTGCAGTGGCGTGATCTCGGCTAAACTGCAACCTCTACCTCCAAGGTTCAAGTGATTCTTCTGCCTCAGCTTCCCAAGTAGCTGTGACTACAGGCGTGTACCCTATGCCCAGATAATTTTTGTATTTTCAATAGAGATGGGGTTTCGCCATGGTAGCCAGGCTTGTCTCAAACTCCTGACCTCAGGTGATCTGTCTGCCTCTGCCTCCCAAGGTGCTGGGATTACAGCCATGAGCCACCACACCCAGCCCTATTCTTTCAATTTTCATTTCACCAATCCTGTTCATGATTTAGATGTATGGTGGACATAAAGCTGGATGTCATCAATTATATCTTTAATGATGAAGAATAACCTAAAAACTCTGATGTTCTTAGGAATATTATTTTTATTTTTGAAATTATTTCAGGTACTTGTCTTGGGCCTTAGATACAAATCAGGAAGAACGAGACAAGGGTAAAACAGTAGAAGTGGGTCGTGCCTATTTTGAAACCGAAAAGAAGCATTTCACAATTCTAGATGCCCCTGGCCACAAGAGTTTTGTCCCAAATATGATTGGTGGTGCCTCTCAAGCTGATTTGGCTGTGCTGGTAAGAAAGACATTTCCAATCCATCTGTATATTGTTTAGCAGCCCTGCTTATATCTTTAAATTTTAATTTGTCTTTTAAAAATTTTATCTTCCAAAAGCTCAAATTCAGGTTGCAGTGAAATAAATTGATGTACACGGTCACAGTTTTCATCATACTAATCTGTTCCAGAAATCTTCAGAATTTGATTTACTTCAGAAAATATGTTTCACCTTTTCTCTCCTGTTGTTCTTATCTATTACCATGTCAGAACTTAGTGTCCATTAAATGCCAAGCCCACTGTTAGGCACCATGTGTAAAAATGAATAGGAAACCATCTGTTTCATAAGGTCATCAGTCATTCTGTGATTTTCACAATGTACTGGCACTAGATCACAAATTTTTTTCCCTTGTAGTTACAATGGTTAGAAAGCAAATGTTGGAATTTTAAAATATGCAGGTATACTAGATTTTGGGAATGTCGGGGATTGGAAGCATCTAGACATTGTTTGATTTGTGACATTCAAAAGCAGGTATGTCATAACTCATTTGCTTCTATTTCCTTGCAAAAAAAAAAAAAAAAACAAAGTGAAAGGAAAGATATTTTACTGCCATAAGGGTATGCCTGAAGGTGTAAGACTAAACTATTTCCTTTCTTGCCATTAGGTCATCTCAGCCAGGAAAGGAGAGTTTGAAACTGGATTTGAAAAAGGAGGACAGACAAGAGAACATGCAATGTTGGCAAAGACAGCAGGTGTAAAACACTTAATTGTGCTAATTAATAAGATGGATGATCCAACTGTAAATTGGAGCAATGAGAGGTAAGCATAGATGTCTGTTATTTTATGTTAGTGGAATTAGGATGGTTTTGTTATTGTACCCCTTTTTCTCTAGGGTTTTTCTAAACCTTAATCTGTTTACTTAGAAAACTAGAGTTCTTTGTTTATAATTGAATTATTTATAAATATTCATAGATATGAAGAATGTAAAGAGAAACTAGTGCCATTTTTGAAAAAAGTTGGCTTCAATCCCAAAAAGGACATTCATTTCATGCCCTGCTCAGGACTTACTGGAGCAAATCTCAAAGAGCAGTCAGATTTCTGTCCTTGGTACATGTAAGTAACCTTTTTTTCCTTTTTTATAAAAGGATGTTATTACTTAAATTACTTACAAAAAGACATGCTGAATAACATGTTAACAGGTTATTGAGCATATGTCTTTATAAGTAATTTAAGAAAGTATAGCCGGACATGGTGGCTCACACCTGTAATCCAAGCACTTTGGGAGGCTTAGGCGGTGGATCACCAGGTCAGGAGATCAAGCCCGTCCTGATCAATATGGTGAAACCCCGTCTCTTAAAATAAATAAATAAATAATTTTTTTAAAAAAAAGATGTACTAAAAATATATTTATTAACTGTAACCTTGGCTTTAAAAATATCAAGATCTTACACATCAACAGGAAGTTAAAAAAATAAAAGAAAGGAAAAAAAAAATACCAAGATCTTTGCCCATTTTAAAACTGGGTTGTCATTTTGTTATTGAGCCATAAGAGTTCTTTTTAATACTGACTACAAGTCCCTTATCAGTAAGAGTATGATTATAGGAGTTATTTTCTCCCACTTTATGGGTTGCCATTTTTCACTTCTTGATGGTGTCCTTTGAAGCACAAAAGGTTTTATTTTTGAAGCTTTTTACATTAAGGTGTGTATTTTCAATTAATTTTTGTGTAATTTTTTGTGTAAAGTCTATGTCTAGGTTCATTTTGTTTTTGCACATTGCTTATGCACTGTTTGTTGAAAAGACTATTCTTTTACCATTGAATTGAATTGGCACCTTCACTGAAAATAAGACAATCATAAATCTAAGAGTTTATTGCTGGACTCTGTTTCTCGGTTTGCTTTTTTTTTTTTTTGAAACAGGCTGTGACTCTAGCCCGGGCTTGAGTGCAGTAGCATGATCTCAGTTCACTGCAACCTCTGCCTCCTGGGTTCAAGAGATCTTCCTACCTTAGCCTCCCAAGTTGCAGGGACTACAGGTGCATGCCACCACACCTGGCTGATTTTTATGTTTTTAGTAGAGATGGGGTTTCACCATGTTGCCCAGGCTGGTCTTGAACTCCTGGGCTCAAGAGATGCACCTGGCCTTTTGGCCTCACAAAGTGCTGGGATTACAGGTGTGAGCCACTGCACCCAGCCAATACTGTATGTTTAAGGGGGAAATTATTTTATGGAATCTTGGTTTCATAGCTGGCAAAGTGCATAAAAATTAAATAGAGTATAGTCAATTTATTACCTGTGGGCTATTTGCTATAAAATGTTTTCCTAAATTTTAATAAGTTTATGAGGAAGCCTTATACTGAGCAGTTTTGTAATATTTTTAGTTTTCTGTGGAATAAGTAAGATGAAATGGATAAGAAATTGGTTGAATATAAATAATACATGAATAGAATGAAAATATTGTTATAACCTGTTTAAAGTTATGACTGTGTAACTTTACATTTTGATATTTATGTTGAGTTTTGTTTAATGGGTATTGTTGTTACATTCTCAGTGGATTACCATTTATTCCGTATCTGGATAATCTGCCAAACTTCAGTAGATCAGTTGATGGACCAATCAGGCTGCCAATTGTGGATAAGTACAAGGTACCCAAAATATTATTAAAGAAATTTGGTTTCCTGGGAGGTGAAATCATTGTTGTGCATTTTGTTTCTAGTTATGAAAACTTTATTTCATTATTACTTTTTTTTTTGAGATGGAGTCTTGCTCTGTTACCCAGGCTGTAATGCAGTGGCACAATCTCAGCCCGGCTCACTGCAACTTTCACCTCCCAGGTTCAAGCAATTCTCCAGCCTCAGCCTCCCAAGTAGCTGGGACTGCAGGGATGTGCCACTGGGTCTGGCTGATTTTTTTTTTTTTTTTTTTTTTTTTGTATTTTTAGTCTAGACAGGGTTTCACTATGTTGGCCAGGCTGGTCTCGAACTCCTAACCTCAGGTGATCTGCCCACCTCTGCCTTCTGGGATTACAGGCATGAGTTACTACACCCGGCCTGAAAACTTCATTAACAACATAGCACTGATATCTTTTTCTTTTTTTTTTTTTTTTTCTTTTTTTTTTTTAGGCGGAGTTTCGCTCTTGTTACCCAGGCTGGAGTGCAATGGCGCGATCTCGGCTCACCGCAACCTCCGCCTCCTGGGTTCAGGCAATTCTCCTGCCTCAGCCTCCTGAGTAGCTGGGATTACAGGCACGCACCACCATGCCCAGCTAATTTTTGTATTTTTAGTAGAGACGGGGTTTCACCATGTTGACCAGGATGGTCTCGATCTGTCGACCTCGTGATCCACCCGCCTTGGCCTCCCAAAGTGCTGGGATTACAAGCTTGAGCCACTGTGCCCAGCCGATATCTTTTTCTTAATGGCTACATATAAGTGGTAAAGATAGACAGTAATTTATTCAACAAGTTTATTTTAGCTGTTTCCCGATGAGCCAGGGATCATATCTCAATGCTAAACTCATAGATGTAACTGCTGGGTCAAAGGATTTTCTCATTAAAATTGATGGATATTGATAAATAGCATCACAAAAATACCGTGCTAACTTAGCATGAATGTTAATTTTATCACAGCCTCACCAGCACTGGATGTTTGTCTTTAAAAAAAACAAACTTCTCATTAGGTGCAGTGGCTCATGCATGTAATCTCAGCACTTTGGGAGGCTGAGGTTGGTGGATCATGAGGTCAGGAGTTCAAGACCAGCCTGACCAACTTGGTGAAACCCCATGTCTACTAAAAATACAAAAATTAGCCAGATGTGGTGGTACACCCCTGTAGTCCCAGCTACTTGGGAGGCTGAGGTAGAAGAATCGCTTGAACCTGGGAGGGAGAGGTTATAGTGAGCCAAGACTGTGTCAGTGCACTCCAACCTGGGTGACAGAGTGAGACTCCATCTCAAAAGAAACAAACAAACATAAACTAACTTCTTTGATTTTAACTGGATTTCCAACTTGAATATATTTTAAGTTTTGCAGTATCAATTTATGTAATATTTTTGCCCATCTCAAATACATCATTCTTTCATTAGCTTCATTCTAAATTTCAACAAGTATTGTTTTTTCCAATTTTATGTGTGAGGAAACAGTCCTATAGGTCAGGAGAATGTAAATGTGTACCAACAGTTCCAATCTTCCAACATAAAATTCTTTGCTGTTTTCTGTACCATACTTTGTTACCATGCACTGTACTTTGTTTTTAAATGGTAGGCACACTGAATTATTAATATGATATACATATGCTTATAACACAGATTGTCACAGTATTTTTTACTGTATTTAAGATGAACCTAAGCCTTCTGCTTAAGCAAATGATTTTCCTTTATGAATAAGCAGTGTAGAATTTCATCTTGGGCTGTTGAGCTATTATACAGCACCTGTAAGTCTGAAACTTGGTTTTATTTTACATTTCATCAGGACATGGGCACTGTGGTCCTGGGAAAGCTGGAATCAGGATCTATTTGTAAAGGTCAGCAGCTTGTGATGATGCCAAACAAGGTAAGAGTCAGTAATGCTGTTTCCTGTCTATTTATTGATATTTTTTTAAGAGATAGGGTCTTGTTCTATCACCCAGTCCAGAGTGCAGTGGCAGAATCGTAGCTTTTCACAGCCTCGAACTTCAAATGATCCTGCTACCTCATCCTCCCAAGTAGCTGGGACTGTAGGCATGTACCACTCTGCCTGGCTTTTTTTTTGTTTTTGTTTTTAAATAAAAATTGAGATGGGGGTCTCACTTTGTTGGCCAGATGAGTCTGTAACTCCTGGCCTCAAGCAATCCTCCCATCTTGGCCTCCCAAAGTGCTAGGATTACAAGTGTGAGCCACCACGCCTGGCCTCCGTTATGTTATTTTTGACTGCTCAATTACCCATTTCCTAAGAAACTCAGAGGCAGGGCTTCTCTAACAGCTCCAAAGATGTTGCTTATGCAGGACCACAGACTTGAATCATCAGTACCTGCAGATAGAGATTTTGTTGATTTAAGTGAGAATTTATTTACTATGCTAACCCCAGACAGAGAAAATTAGAAAAAGAATCCATAGTCAAATGTAATATTTAGACATAATTGGCACCTTACATATTGTATTATCTGGCTTTTTGATGCCTTGTGCATTGGAGATTAGAGTAAATAGTATCTTCTAAAATGTTTCTATTTTAAAGCCTATGTTTTCCTATTATCTTTGCAACTTGAAGGCTAACATCTGAATGAAAATAATTGTCAGGTTGAGTTCTTACTCATTTTTTTTTTCCTGAGACGGAGTCTTATCCTGTCACCCATGCTGGAGTGCAGTAGCACCTTGTCAGCTCACTGTGACCTCTCTGCCTCCCGGGTAGCTGGGATAACAGGCAATGCATCACCACACCCAGCTAATGTTTGTATTTTGAGTAGAGACAGGTTTCACCACTTTGGCCAGGCTGGTCTCAAACTCCTGACCTCATGGTTCGCCTGCCTCAGCCTCTCAAAGTGCTCAGTTTACAGGCATGAGCCACCGTACCAGCCTAACCTCTTGTTTATAATAAAATAATCCATGGAGCTGGATGTGGTGGCACGTACCTTTAGCCCAGCTGTTTGGAAGGTTGAGGCACGAGGATTGCTTGAGCCCAGGAGTTTGAGGCTGTAATGAGCTATGATCACACCACTGCACTGTAGCCTGAGTGACACAGTGAGACCTTGTCTCTTAAGAAAAAAACAAAAGTTTTTTAATACAAAAATAAAGTAGTTTATGGAAGCCTAAAGTTCTGATGCCAGCCTTGCTCCTCACTACTTCCTGTGCTGCCTCTGGCAGTAAGGTGAAGAAAAAGAACAAGTGACACATGAAATTTACCATCAGTGACATTTACTGCATTAACAGTGCTATGCATGCTGGATGCAGTGGTTCATGCCTGTAATCCCACCACTTTGGGAGGCCAAGGCAGGTGGATCACATGATGTCAGGAATTCAAGACCAGCCTGGCCAACATCGTGAAACCTTGTCTTTACTCAGAATATAGAAAATTAGCCAGGCATGATGGTGGGCACCTGTAATCCCAGCTACTTGGGAGTCTGAGGCAGAAGAATCACTTGAACCCAGGAGGCAGAGGTTGCAGTGAGCTGAGATCACGCCTCTGCACTCCAGCACGGGCAACAAGAGCAAAAAACTGTCTCAAAAAAGAAAAAAAAAGTGCTGTGTAGCCATCATTACTATCTAATTGCAGAGCATTTCATCACATGAAAAGGAAATCGTGTTCATTAAATAGCTGATACACTTTTAAAGCTTAGTTCATTAACTTTTTTTTTTGAGCACAAATTTTTTGATAACATTTAAGTAGTGTACAATTCTGATATTTGGAGATTGATAGGTAATGGAAAACAGGTCTATTAAATCCTTCATTGAATTTCATAACAAAAATTATATTCATAAAGCTGAAATCCAAATATTGTGTTTTTGATTTTGAAAAAGTGACAAAGGTAAATGCTAGTGTATACAGTGTTCTATTTGGAAATGATTAGAATGTGATATTTAAAAGGTGACATTTTAATATTTTTTTCTTCCCCCTCTTAATGACTTTCTTTTAACAGCAAACACGTTAATACTTTAATTGGCAGTTATACTTCTAGGATATGATTTTCACTGATCATATCTAGGCTGATTTTATGTCATACAGATATAATAAGAGTTTACAGTCAAATCAACAACCACAGAAAAATATGACTTGTAACTCTTCATTGAGCAGACATTCAGATCATTTTATGTTCTGTAATAGAGTGAAATGTGTCAGAAAACCTCCAATCTTGGTTTCTTTTAAAGCACAATGTGGAAGTTCTTGGAATACTTTCTGATGATGTAGAAACTGATACTGTAGCCCCAGGTGAAAACCTCAAAATCAGACTGAAAGGAATTGAAGAAGAGGAGATTCTTCCAGGATTTATACTTTGTGATCCTAATAATCTTTGTCATTCTGGACGCACATTTGATGCCCAGGTAAACAAATTATTGTTGTTGTCATAGTGGGTTTTAATGTCTAAATGAAATTAGTATGTCAGTGCCTTTTGTCCTGATTATTGGTGATATGCCAGTTAACCCAGCTTAAGTGTATAGAAGGGGAATGGAAATAGGTACCTCATACATGATAGGTACACGCAAGGCCTTGAAGCTGGTACAAGTGCTTACTCGATAAGGAGTATTCTTTGTAAGTTCCTTTTTATGTTTGATCTTTTGATACATTTTAGAATATTATTTATTTTGACCAGACCACAGTTACTGTGGAAGTCAATGGTTTATGTGCTCATTCAGAGCACATAGCTTTACAGACAAGAAATCACAGTTTTTCCTGTTACTAACCTAACCCCCTTGGGAGAATGACAGAATAAATGAATGGTGAGCTTAATAGAATTTTTTAGTTCTGTTATAAGGTGTGACAACTAATCAAATTAGATTTTGATGCCAGATTTAAGGTTGTTTACTGAAACTTAGATATTGACAAATGGATAAAGCTGTGGTTAAGTTTACATCTACATAGCTTCTGAGCAGTAATGATTAGCTTAATTCCTTGGGGAATATAAGGAAAGGCTTCCCAGAGAGAAGTAAGTTGGCCTGCTTGTCTTTTGTTTTGTTTTGAAACGGAGTCTCTCTATTCAGTGGCATGATCTCAGCTCATCTGCAGCCTCCACCTCTGGGATTCAAGCCATTCTCTGCCTCAGCCTCCTGAGTAGCTGGGATTACAGACACCCACCACGCCTGGCTGGTCATTTGGTATTTTTAGTAGAGATGGGGTTTTCACCATGTTGGCTAGGCTGGTCTCAAACTCCTGGCCTCAAGCGATTCCCCGGCCCCCTGCCTTGGTCTCCCAAAGTGCTGAGATTACAGGTGTGAGCCACTGCAGCTGGCCAGCCTGCTTTGTTTTTAAAGTTGACCAGGCACTTGCCAAGAAGATAAATAGAGTATAGGATATTGAAATTCATGCTTTGAGGTCAGGCAGCCTGACCCATCCTGTGAACAAAATTAAAGACAAACCTATCACCTCTAACAAAAAATCATTTAAGTTGGTCTTCAACTGAGATTGTAACACTAATTCTTGAGATATTATATGGCACTTGAGAACACTGAAATCTCTTTTTACCCTAAGGATAAAGATAAGAATGTTTGTGTGTGTTTGTTTCACAGATTGTAATTATAGAGCACAAATCCATCATCTGCCCAGGCTATAATGCGGTGCTGCATATTCATACCTGTATTGAGGAAGTTGAAATAACAGTGAGTTTGTTTTTAAGTTAATTGGTTTATTTCGGTTTTATTACTGTTTTATCTTGATGATTCTGATCAGCAACATTGATGTACTTTCATTTCTGTACCTGTTCTTAAAGATCCTTTTATTTAGCATTATTCTAATTTTCTCATACTCTTTTTTTGTTTAGGCCTTAATCTGCTTGGTAGACAAAAAATCAGGAGAAAAAAGTAAGACCCGACCCCGTTTTGTGAAACAAGATCAAGTATGCATTGCTCGCTTGAGGACAGCAGGAACCATCTGCCTTGAGACCTTTAAAGACTTCCCTCAGATGGGTCGTTTTACCTTAAGAGATGAGGGTAAGAGCTTTTAAACTGACATCTAGTAGTATATCCATGATACCTAGCTTTGGTCATCTTTGTCATTTCAGTACAGTATACACTGCAACAGGTTCACAGGAAACTTGGATTCACATTCTATATTCGTATGAGTGTCTTATGAGTTGAATGAATGAACAGAATTAACTATGTTTCTTAGCCAAATCCAGTAATGCTCTACATGAAGAATCTTAATTTTGATGATTTCTGAGTAGTGGATTTGGAGGGCTATTTTGTACTTAGTAAGTAAGACATTTCTATGATGAATCCTTTGTAATATATCTAGAGATTAAAAGGGCTCTAGAGATTGATTTTTTTAACACCTAATTTTTCAGAGGTCTAATGTTTGTGACCTTTTGTGTGCATCCATTTCTGCATACCTCTGGGTGACGCAGAACAACCAGTATTCCCATCTTGGGGTCATGAAATTCTTTGGCATAAAAACAAATGGTTGTTTTGAAACATTTCCCTATGGGTTGTTAGTATTTCGAACTTGGATAACCATTTTAAGACTATAGAAAAATTCACATAAAACTTTATAGTTCCATTGAAATACAGAATGGTCATTTCACATGCTCATTCCAATTCCATTTAGCAAAAATTACTGTGTATCTACAAAGTGTCTGGAACTGTGCTAAGCCCTTGTGATTAATTCAGTGCTTGAACCTTACATTGGGGAAAATTGTATAAAGACTGTTTAAAGTCCCAGAACTCTTCTTGTTGATAATACAACTGGTTATTGGATTTATCCTATTAACAAAACAAAATGATAGTTTTAGTTTACCATTCAGAACCTGATAAAATCAGGAAGACAGAAGAAAGCAATTAATGTAGCAGGAATTCTTAACCCTAGAATTATTGTTTTCTAACAGATAACTTGGGTTTTAGGTTTTCCACAAGACCCAATGGATTTTGTATCCCTTTCAGTCCCAGGAGTACTACCAGAAGGATGTTTTCACTGCATTGTAGTCAGTGGCAGTTGCTGTATCTTTTCAGTTACTTAAGGATAGGTTTTGGGATTTTTTTTTTAGCAGCTTTACTGAGATATAATTTCCACAATATGAAATTGACCTGTTTTAAATATGCAATTCAATGAATTTTAGTATGTTTAGAGAATTGTAGAACTATCACCATATACTAATGTTAGAACATTTGGAACACCTAAAAAGAAAACTTATACCTGTTGATAACCACCTCTTATTCTCACCTCCAGCCCTAGACAACCACTTTTCAATTTCCTTGTCTTCTATAGATACTCTATAAATAGAATTGTAAATATGTGGTCTTTCGTGTCTAGTTTATTTTACTTAGTATGTTTTTGAGGTTCAACCATGTGGCATGTTATTTATTCCTTTTTATCACTGAATAGTATTCCATTGTGTGGATATTCCAAAAATACAGATATTCCCCCCCCCCCTTTGTTTTAAATCCAAAGAGGTTTTTGGCCTGGCATGGTGGCTCAGGCCTATAATCCTAGCACTTTCAAGGGGCCGAGGCAGGTGGATCACCTGAGGCCAAGAGTTCAAGACCAGCCTGGCCAATATGTTGAAACCCCACCTCTACTAAAAATACAAAAATTACCCAAGCGTGGTAGCAGCCGCCTGTAATCCCAGCTACTATGGAGGCTGAGGCAGGAGAATCACTTGAACATGGAAGGAGGAGGTTGCAGTCAGCCAAAATTGCACCACTGCACTCCAGCCTAGGTTACAGAGTGAGACTCCGTCTTCTTTTTTTTTTTTAAAAAAAGAGGGCCATGCGCAGTGGCTTATGCCTGTAATACCAACACTTTGGGAGGCCAAGGCAAGCAGATCACTTGAGGTCAGGAGTTCTAGACCAGCCTGGCCAACATGGTGAAACCCCATCTCTACTAAAAATACAAAAATTAGCTGGGTACGGTGGTGGGTGCCTGTAATCCCAGCTATTCGGAGGATGAGGCAGAAGAATGGCCTGAACCCAGGAGGCTGAGGTTGCAGTGAGTTGAGACCACGACACTGCACTTCAGCTGGGTTACAAAGCAAGATTACATCTCGGGGTGGGGGTGGGGAAAGATAGGTTTTTAATACAGGGAACCATCTCTTTACCAGCTCCCTCAAATAAGACCCACTTTTTTTTTTTTTTTTTAAGACATAATTTCGCTCTTATCGCCCAGGCTGGATTGCAGTGGTACAATCTTGGCTCACCGCATGCGCCACCACACCCGGCTAATTTTGTATTTTTAGTAGAGGCAGGGGTTTCTCCATGTTGGTCGGGCTAGTCTTGAACTTCCAACCTCAGATGATCTGCCCACCTCAGCCTCCCAAAGTGCTTGGATTACAGGTGTCAGCCACCAGACCAGGCTAAGACCCATTTATTAAGACTACCTAAATAGAAGTATCTTGGATTTGGCAGTAAAGCTAGTTAATTAGTAATTTACATTGTAAAAAATATTTTTGTGATTTAAAATAATAAGCTTTAATATCTTACGTACACTTGCTATTCACTATTGAAAGATTTTTTTAAAAATTTCATTTCTAGGTAAGACAATTGCAATTGGAAAAGTTCTGAAACTGGTTCCAGAGAAAGACTAAGCATTTTCTTGATGATCCTGCACAATACTGTGAGGAAAATTGACAACAAAAGCCTACTTCACACCGCCTTCTCTTATTTTCTGCCCATTGATAAACCTCTCCCCATATTTTGCAAAGAGAAAATTCACAGCAAAAGTCCACATTATATCAGCTTTCTCATATTGAGAGCTCTGCTATGCCACTGTTGAATTTTTCCCAAGATTCTCACCCCTAGCTCCCCCTTCAAACTCTGCTTCCTTGGACAGATTTGGCAATAGCTTTGTAAGTGATGTGGACATAATTGCCTACAATAATGAAAACCTACAAGAATTTTTTTATTTTTCATTTTCCCCTTAGGCATATTTAGTATTTTTTCCCCAGGCAGATCATTCTGAGTGTGCGAGTGTGTGTGCACATGTTACAAAGACAACTACCATGTTAATAAAATATTCAATTTGAAATCCTTTTCGGTATTTGAATTGCTTTTGAATAGTGTTTTTTATCTGGATGTAACATTGTTGCATTAGCTTTTTAACTTTCCCAAGTAATTGAATACATTTTATTACTTGGACTTTTCTAAACTCTTTCCTTACCCACTACTTTAAATGAGGCATTCACAGTGTTCACGTTTGTATTAAAGGAAAGGATTAGTTAGACCCCTTCTTTTGATGGTTAATGCATACATGCAGTTAAATCCCTTTATCCAACTGTGATACTGCTTTACTAGGTCTTTTAGGGTTTTTGGTTTGTTTTTTTTTTGTTTGTTTGTTTTTTTGCCAATTTATATTGTAACATGATTTCTTAAACACAGTAAGTTGTTTTAAAATAGAAGAACAGCATACTGTAGGTTTTATAAGTAAAGCTTAATGAAATTGTACCCCTAGAGAAAATTCCATTAACTCATTAGATTAGTGGAATTTACAACAAATAAAGCATGTTTGAGACCTGGCAGAAATTATTCTTTTAGTATTTATAAGAGCTGCATGCCTCTAGTTTGAAAACCCTATCAGTTGCAAGTGCCAGTTCTACAAATTACCCAGTTTACTCTATGTATCAGTAACTTTAAAGGTTGGATGATCCTTGCTGATTAAAACTAAATCTCAATCCAGCAACTAAATGAACATATTTAGAATCATCAGAATTTGCACAGACTACAATTATAAGCGATAAGAAGAATCAAGCACAGTGTAAGTTTTATCTCAATTATTTGAAATTGAGTTTTCTTAAGTGTAGAGCTGATATTTGCTAACCATGTTTTTGATGAACCATAATGCACCACTGTGGTGGTTTTAGACTGAATGACTTTCTGCTATGATTATCATAAGAGAGAAATTTTTCATGAGAATGAGAAATGGAGGCAGTTTGGGTTTAACAGAAACCCCCTTGATGTTGAGTGTTGCCATTTGTCAAAGATGGCCTCTTTTAGATTGTGATTTATCTCTAAATATGATACTTTGTAATTGTATATTTAATAACAAATCCCTTCCCTGTAATTTTGCTCCTCAGAAAAGAAAAGCCTAGACAAACTGCATTTCTGGTCACAAAACATAAAACTTACTCTAATAGGTTTTTGTTGTTGTTGTTTGGTTGGTTTTTTTTGAGGCAGAGGTTCACTCTGTTGCCCAGGCTGGAGTGCAGTAGTGCGATCATGGCTCACTGCAACCTCTGCTTCATGGTTAAGCAATTCTCCTACCTTAGCCTCTTGAGTAGCTGGGATTACAGAAGCCTGCCACCACGCCCAGCTAATTTCTGTATTTTTAGTTGAGACAAGATTTCACCATACTCGCCAGGCTGGTCTCAAGTCCTGATCTCAAGTGATCTGCTTGCCTGGGCTTCTCAAAGTGCTGGGATGATAGGTCTGAGGCACTGCACCTGGCCTAGTGTTTTCTTAACTACAAAATTCCCATTCATTTCATGGATGAGGTTATGTCAGGCGTCCCCAAACTTTTTACACAGGGGGCCAGTTCACTGTCCCTCAGACCGTTGGAGGGCCGCCACATACTGTGCTCCTCTCACTGACCACCAATGAAAGAGGTGCCCTTCCTGCAGTGTGGCGGGGGGCGAATAAATGGCCTCAGGGGGCCTCATGCGGCCCGCGGGCTGTAGAGTTTGGGGACGCCTGGGTTATGTCTTATGGACAAAGTTACTGTCCTACAGCTTCTTAAAACTATAATTATGGCTATTTAATTGCATGAAATTTAAATAAATTTTATTATGTCTGCAAATCTCTGGGCTTTTATTTTTCTGGAAAATATAGGAGCTTTAATCAAAACATAATAGTTCTTTTTGTATTCCATGGTATTAAAAACAAACAGTAGCAATTGCTTGAGTTTTAACAAATATTCAAAAGTTCAAGAACCACTGAAATCACTTCCAGAGATAAGAGTTCTCTTTCTAAATTGAATACATTTTTTAAAAATCAGTTATGTTTGCTACTAAAACATTTACACTGTTAGAATATTATTTACATGTTGCCAAGACTCTTAAGTAACTTGGATATAAACTGTGAAGGGCCTACCTCTAAAAAGTAACAGGTAATACAAATATAAATGTAACTATAAAAATTCTGCTGGATTCTTGCACATTTGTAAGATTAGATTATTCAAAAGAAATTTCAATGCTAAAATTAACCAGCAACGTAAGTTCTAGGGGCTTTGAAAAGTATTCTCATCTTTTTAAAGTTGATGCATTTTAAACTCCTGGTTACACTGGCTATTCATTTGGATACGGAAATAAAAAGTCTAAGTTGAACTTGGCAGTATGTGAAGACATTGGACCTTCATAGAGCAACAGAAATTCCTCTTCTGTCTTCTGCAAATGCAAACATGTTTATATGGTCGACAGTGCAAAACAGGGTAGTTGGCTGCATATTTACGGTATTACCTAAGCATTTTTTTCTCTAACGTAGCTCTACTAAATTTTTTTGCATCTTTTTACATTAATGATGTTCTTTATATAACTTTCATGCTAGATTATTTAGTTTTTTTAAATTAATAAACTGAATTTAAGAAATACTGAAATAAATATCTAAGTAATTGCCATATTAAACCCTTGTTTCTTACTGTGGGAGAGGGGGAAGTACAGCACTCATTTCTTGTTGTTAATTTGCAAAAGTAACTTATCCAGTGAAAAGCTATGTAAAATGAAACCAGAAGAGTTGGACTGAATGTGTATTGTCTTGAGATTAAGTGACAAATAGTAAAGTGTTACTGAATAATTAAGCCCATGTATTTTTTTTGTTTGGAGTTGAAAATCTTTGAAATATGTGATAGCTGACTGTCAAAAATTCCTAAACTTCAGCAGTGCAGGTTGTTCACTGTAACAAGAGGTAACTCATATTTGCTGGTTACTGCTCTCACAACATCGGACTTTGAACTGCGATGTAGTTGAATAGTTGCCGGCATCTGCTCAGCTCAAGCACTGCGAATATTTTGGGTCAGACTTGGAGCCAGATGGTTTTGTAACCCAAGAAAAAAGTTGAACCAATGGTCGAAAACTGCTCCCAAGATGAACTCTGGGAAAAAAAACCAGCTAAACTCCCCTGGCGATCTTCAGGAACACTAGTAATGACTGTAATTACTCCGTGATCTTTGATGACTATTACACATGACAGCACTCTAATGCCTTTCCTTAGTGGCATGGACTTCCTCCTGGACCGCTACTTCATGGAAGATAGCTTCATTGCTTTGGGTAGAGATTTAAGGTAGTAGAGGGGAAAACACGCAGTTTTATTACAGCTGTTAACATTAGGCAACTTTCAACTTTAAAACTCTTTGTGAAGAATCTGCTTATAGCATTGTAGCTCTGATTTTAGGATGGTTAAATGTTAAATTCATTGTTGGCCTACCGTATCAGAACAAACTGTGCCATTAATCCTCTCACAAACATATGTAAGGTAGAGAGCAACCAGCGGACTTAGAGGATGATGATCTATCTCCAAATAATAAGGCTTTTATTTCTGCCAGCTGACTTTTTCAGTGATTCTAGCAGATGCCATCTAATATATTCATGATCTTGTTTCTTTAGAGATCTTGCCACGGCAGCAACTTGTTAAGTAAGTATAATCACGTATGCGTATGCACAAAAGACTTAACTAGTTTTAAAATTAGCAGTCAGTTGGTTAGATTAGATTTCATAGTAAATGGAATAGGAAGTGTTTTTATTTTCCGTTAGTAAAGCTGTGGATTGTATTTGACCCAGTTTACTGTCAGAATTCAGTTTGGGTAGATTTGGTTCAACCTTTGATGGTTTTTGGCTCTAGGATGTTCTTAACTTTTCAATATCCTAGAACTTACTGCATCTTCCCTTCAATAAATACACTTCTCACATACCTCTGATCCTATGCTTCCTTGAAACAATAACGCTAGATGACTTGTTTACTAAGGATTATTGTAAGGGCCTGAAGGTGTGGGAGTAGAGATTAAAACTTTTATGTTCTCCAGTATAAGGGAAAAGCAGATTGGCACTATGTATGATTAGGCAGAAAACAACAGGATTCCTTAAGTGATGATCCTTGAAATGGTTTTCTGCCTTATCATATTTGCCACTGTGCCCTTTAAAACTACGTGGAAACCTCAGGTTTGTGGATAGCACAGGTGGAATGATGTTTTGTGCTTCCTGAGGCTCCCCTCTGCCAGGCACATGTTAGCTTAGTGCTTCAAATGTCAGCCCAAGTCCTTGCTACCTCCTTTTCCTGCTGCCTGGGGAAGAGTGTGTGTGCTGGAGTTGGAGCTCTTGCACTCCTCAGGTGATTGTTCTCACCGCCATTTCCTCCACATGCATTAGGTGAAACTTGAGGTCCGAGCCTCCTGCAAGGTCTACCTTTTAAGGACTCACACATTGGGCTCTCAAATGTACACTTACTTGTTCTGTTTATTCTAAAGGAAATGTGGGTATCTCTCAGGCCAGGATTTAGTAACTAGTTTTCGCTAGACAGCAGGTTAATACCTAGATCACATTTTTTTAAAAAACAGGAATAAAGGGAACTGATTAGGTTTGCTGAGTTTTTTTAGCCTAATTCCAAAGCATGGAAGAGTGCTCTAGGTAGGAAAGAAATCTTTTTCTTACTATTTGTAGCTACCTACTGTGCCTGACTTGGTGCCTGTGTGAGGATTAAGCCCTTAGTCTGCTCTTGCAATTACTCAAGTGACAAGTCAAATTTGCTTTTGTGATAACAATAAAAGTTGTCATCTTTCCTTTTGAAGGATATGTCGTTTCTTTGTAACTACCTGTGTCGTTACAAGCCAGTCATGCCCTTTTCTGTACAATCCTTTTATTTTTGTATCAGGTATTGGAACCATCTGCCAACAGGTTTGTTGGATGGCTGTAACAAGCTCTGTCACATAAGGGATTCACAGGCATGTCGTCTGCTTGCATATGGTATACAAGTCTTTTGTATAATGTATACAACAGTATAATGTATACAACCACCTTAGGAAACAAAAATAGTAACCCTATAGGAAGGTAGAGATGCTGAATAATAACTAGATTACAGCATGTGGTTTTCTGTCAACCGTGAGTTGAGGTAACGTTATTGTCAGAACTATGAACGTCTATATTCAGGATTTTTAATAAAGATCAAGAGACCAAATAGTGCCTGCCCTTTTTATTCAGTGTGCAAGGACGAGAAGAAATTAATGATCAATTAATTCAGTGGCTACCTGAATGACAGCAGTTCATTCCTGTGTACTCACTAAGTTCCTGTCTGAACTGTTTGAGGTAAATCACTTTGAGGTTTTGGCAGTCAGCCTCTAGGTATTTGTTATTAAACCAATCATAGCTTAAAACTTGGGACCAAGCTTGCTATTAAAGTAGGGGTTCAGGCTGGGTGTGGTAGCTCATGCCTGTAATCCCAGCACTTTCAGAGGCTGAGGCGGGTGGATCGCTTGAGGTCAGGAGTTCCAGACCCACCTGGCCAACATAGTGAAACCCCGCCTCTACTAAAAATACAAAAATTAGCTGGCCATGGAGGTGCATACCTGCAATCCCAGCTACACAAAAAGCTTAGGCAGGAGAATTGCTTCAACCCGGAAGGCGAAAGTTGCAGTGAACCAAGATCACGCTGTTGCACTCCAGTTTGGGCAACAAGAGCCAGACTCCATCCCACCTCAAAAATAAACCCGGAAAAATATCATCAATACCTTGGATGATGTAAATCTGTAGTGAAGAACTGGGTATCTCAATCTAGAATAAAGACCAAATAACAACAAAATAGAATTTTAAAGCTTTCCAAATTTAAAAAGAGTCTTAAAAAACAACTTTAGCCTCTTTGGCCATGTGAAAAACATCCTGGAAAATGATTGATTTACCCGTTAGTGACAATTTTTAAACCTTTATAGCCATTTTGATGAAGAACCATAAAAGTCATGTACAGTTTTGACATCCTTTTTTTGTTTCCTTATATTGCATTTGTCCTCTGTAGAGTTAATTCAATGTGTTGGTCTTAAAAGTAAAATTTGCCAGATGTGGTGGCACACACCTGTAGTCCCAGCCACTCCTGAGGTGGGAAGATGACCCGAACCCAGGAGTTCAAGGCGCCAGTGGGTTATGATAATGCCTGTGAATTGTCACTGCACTTTAGCCTGGTCAACACAGTGAGATGCTGTCTGTCTTTTTAAGTGAAACTTCTTGTCACTGTGACTCTTTCCTTCAAATTGTTTCTGAAAGCTTTGTGCACCCACATTACTCGCAAGAAATATTTTCCTGTGTTTTCTCCTAGGAATGAGAGACTGCCTACAATAAGTAAACAAAATTCCTCTAGCTGATGAATAGACTTTTGAATTATTTGGAATATGATCCTTCTGTTAAAAATTAGGCCACGCTGGGTGCGGTGGCTCATGCCTGCAATTGTTGCACTTTGGGAGGCTGAGGCAGATGGATCACAAGGTCAGGAGTTTTGAGACCAGCCTGGTCAACATGAAGAAATGCCATCTCTACTAAAAATACTAAATTTAGCCAGGCATGGTGGTGCAAGCCTGTAATCCCAGCTACTCAGAAAGCCGAGGAAGAATTGCTTGAACTCGGGAGGTAAAGATTGCAGTGAGCCAAGATCACGCCACTTCACTCCAGCCTGCACGACGGAGGCAAGACTCCATCTTAAAAAAAAAAAAAAAAAAGCCAAAAATTTCCTCTATGTGCACTGGGTCACATTTAATACTAGCTGCACATTTTCTTAACATCCCATTGCCCACATTTGATCCCTTAACATTTGCCTTCAGTGCAAATGATGATCATCCCCAAACACAAACAGAGTAATAGTTTGCATGTTTAAAGCATTTTCACTAAAAGTTCTGTTCTGGTTTGAGGTTAGTCAAGAGTCAAGCTAATGGTAATAACTGGTAAAAATAATTCAGAGGGCATAATGGGGGAAAAAACCCACATTTAACTTGTTTTGTATCTTGTAGTTAGAATTTTTAATGAGGATTTCATCCCACTTAAGTAGGCACAGTACTCCCAAAGGACTTTACTTTGTATTTGCTTATAAAATACACAAGTTCCACATTTCCAAATAATTAGAAGAAAATGACTTGAACATTTTCGGCATGGAGATAAATAGGCAATGGATATCCCAATAACCCTGATTTGATCTCTACACATTATATGAATCTATCAAATGATCACATGTACCCTGAAAATATGTAATCTACAGAAGTTACTTAAAAGCAGATGACATCACTATCTTTACTATCTTTATTAATTCCTGGCAAATATATCAGGTTTTAGAATAAAAAGGAAATCTTCAAAGATTTAGATTCTTAGGAGTAACTAGGATTTGTAAAGAAGTTCCAGGAAACAGACGTTGTATGACAAAGGAGAGGATTTTTTTTATTAAGGTACAATTTGCATAAAATGAAAATCACAGATCTTAAATTTACAATGAGTTTGTCAAGTGTATATACTGTGTAAACACTCCTATCAACATACAGAACATTTCCATCGCCCTAGAAAGCTCTCTTGTGCTACTTTCCAACAAATCCCCTCTTGCCAAGGCATTCGCTGTTATGCCATCTATCATAATAGTTTTGTCTGTTTTTGAACTCTACATAAATGGAATCGCAATTCTGTCATCTCTGGCACATAACATTTTGGAGATTATGTTGTGCATATCAGCAGCTCATTTTTTTTAAATGAATAATACTCCATTTTATGAATATTCTCTAAGTGATCTATCCTTGAAGGGAGATTTGATTTTGCTTTCCAATTAGTATTCTTCGACAGGTTAGTTGCAATGCAAATACCTTTCTTCCGAATTTTTCTAATACAAGGAAGTAAAACCAGAGAGAAAAGTCTCACCACTTCTTCCTTTATCTACTTTTATAAGACTTACCAAAGATAAATGATGTAGTGATCCTAACAGGTGGTGAAATAATATGAGCTTCCTTCTTATCTCCCCTTCCAATCTTAAAGACGGTCTTTAAGATTGTGAGGCCTGTGAGGGGCCTTTTTTTTTTTTTTTTTTTTTTTTTTTTGAGACTGAATCTTGCTATCGCCACGCTGGAGTGCAGTGGCACGATCTTGGCTCACTGCAACCTCCGCCTCCCAGGTTCAAGTGATTCTCCTCCCTCAGCCTCTGGAGTAGCTGGGATGACAGGCATGCGTCACTATGTCCGGCTAATTTTATATTTTGACTAACCTAACTTGCACCTCTACTAAATAACTGTTTTAAACTTCAGGGCTAAATCCTTTTTCTTTTTTGGTAGCTTTATTTATTCAATTCTGTGCATGAATAACTTCTATAAGTCCTTTTATAGATCCCTTATTGATGACCTAGCATAATACTTTATAGTATAGTAGCTATGTAAAACTTCCCTGCCAGGCACAGTGGCTCACGCATGTAATCCCAGCACTTTGGGAGGCTGAGGTGGGCAAATCACAAGGTCAGGAGTTCAAGAACATCCTGGCTAGCACGGTGAAACCCTATGTCTACTAAAAATACAAAAATTAGCTGGGCATGGTGGTGCATGCCCGTGATCCCAGCTACTTGGGAGGCTGAGGCAGGAGAATCACCTGAACCAAGGATGTGGAGGTTGCAGTGAGTGGAGATCGCACTACTACACTCCAGCGTGGGCGACAGAGCAAGACGCCATGTCAAAAAAAAAAAAAAAAAAAAAAGGCTGGGCGTGGTGGCTTACGCCTTGTAATCCAAGCACTTTGGAGGTCAAGGTGGGTGGATCACCTGAGGTCGGGAGTTCAAGACCAGCCTGACCAACATGGTGAAACCCCATCTTTTAAAAAACAACAAAAAAAAACACTTTCCTAATTTGAATAAAGATGCACTTTGAGATTTTGAGTTGTCATAACATTTACCAGCTATATACTGGTAGTGATTAAAAGAACACAGTCCTGCAAGTGGTCAGCTGGTTATCGTCAATGATAAAAAGAGACTAATGCTATTTCTTTCAGCAAACAGAAGAAGAGAACTAACCTTGTGTTATTTAATCTGTTTTTTAAAATGTAGAAATCACTTTTAAGAGTGGCCTTAATAGTCTATTCCTTGGGGAATATAATTCCTGTAAATACAGGTTGGCTGGATTAAGAATGTTTGTCAATCATGTATTAAGTAGGGTTGGTGCACACTATGATACTTAGGAGCTAAATGGTGTGCTTGTGTTATCTACATAGATTGTACGAGGACAGAGTTAAAAATAAATAGCAATCTTAATAGGTTTTCTACTGAAAACCTCTTTACATTTCTTTCTCTGGCAATCTCATTGTTCTTTTTCTTCCCCAGCCCTCCACCCCCAACCCCCAAATCAGAATCAAATATTAATTTCTTTTTTTTTTTTCTTTGAGACAAAGTCTCAAAGCTGGAGTGCAGTGGCAGCATCTCAGCTCACTACAACCTCCATCTCCCAGGTTCAAGTGATTCTTCTGCCTTAGCCTCCCACGTAGCTGAGACTACAGGCATGCACCACCATGCCCAGCTAAATTTTTTGTATTTTTAGTAGAGATGGGGTTTTACTATGTTGGCCAAGCTGGTCTTTAACTCCTGACCTTGTAATCCACCTGCCTCAGCCTCCCAAAGTGTTGGGATTACAGGTGTTAGCCACCAGGCCTGGCCCAAATATTAATTTCTTTACTGATTGGCTATTTCTTTCCGCTTGAATGCAGGTAAGCTGCCTCCTGCCCTCATTTGGGCCCTAAGATGCACAATTTGTTTTCCAATCCATCTAATAATGATGACATTGTTTTTAGCAAAAGTAAAAAGAAGACAACTAACCTTGTGTGATTATCAGGAACATGCTAGACGTTGTGAAGATATATTCTCTGAAATCCTTGGGAGCCAGCTTCATTTAACAGATGAACACACTGTAAAGATATATTCTCTTAAATCCTAGGGAATCAGCTTCATTTAACAGATGAAGACACTGAGGCTTGGGAGATTAGCCACCTTGTCCAAGACTAAACAACTAGTGCATCATGGATTTGGGATTCAGCCTGATCTCTCTGACCCAAAATACCATGTTCTTCCTACCTTCCTTAAAATGTCACATTCTACATTTAAGCAATATTGTGTCACCTCTTGATTCCATTATGTTTAGGTTAACATTAATTAGCAGATTTCAGTACCACGAATATGCTGAGTATTAAACTGCTTTTGGATAATCCAGACATCACTAACTGACTATGCGGCATTTCTTTTGTTAGCTGCCATTTGTAACCACTCTGACCTGACAGCACTATATAAAAAAGGATTTCTAATAGTTTCCTAGGGTTACTAGTTGATTGCAACAAATGTTTACTTTGAACTAGAATCTGAGTTCCAAGCTGGGTAGAATCCACATGCCTATAATCCCAGCTGCTCAGGAGGCTGAGGCAGGAGAATCACTTGAACCTAGGAGATGGAGGTTTCGGTGAGCTGAGATCACGCCATGGCACTCCAGCCTGGGCGACAGGAGTGAAACTCTGTCTCAGAATAAAATTTAAAAATCTGAGTTCCATTATTAAGTATGAAGTTTCTTAAACTTTATGTTTACCATTCAGCAACCTGTTTAACAATCTTTGCAATTAGTTGAATTATTTATCAAATCCTTATTAAACTTTATGTACCTACAAAAAAGAATTTCAAGCAGTTTGAAGAGAGGTACCTTAGTACCTTACAAGAGAAAAAACTTATTAGTATTCATGGTATTAGTGAGACCTGGGTACTCGAATGTTGAAATTATTTTGGTTTTTGTAGAAATGAGGTTTTGCTAGGTTGTCCAGACTAGTCTGGAACTCCTGGGTTCAAGCAATCCTCCCTCCTCAGCCTCCCAAAGTGCTGGGATTACAGGTGTGAGTCACCGTGCCTGGACTATTTATTTATTTTTAAATTTTTTTACCCTGGCCGGGCGCGGTGGCTCAAGCCTGTGGTCCCAGCACTTTGGGAGGCTGAGGCGGGTGGATCATGAGGTAAAGAGATCGAGACCATCCCGGTCAACATGGTGAAACCCCATCTCTACTAAAAATACAAAAAATTAGCTGGGCATGGTGGCTCGTGCCTGTAATCCCAGCTACTCAGGAGGCTGAGGCAGGAGAATTGCCTGAACCCAGGAGGCGGAGGTTGCGGTGAGCCGAGATCACGCCATTGCACTCCAGCCTGGGTAACAAGAGTGAAACTCCGTCTAAAAAAAAAAAAAAAAAAAAAAAAAAAATTTTTTTTTTAACCTGTCTTGTGGTGCTGACAGTATGGTCTTTTATCAGTATGTATTCTTCTCAACTTCAATGTTTATCAGTGTTAACACAGTTTCAGATATCTCCACTCCTTCATGCCTTCTGTAACCTGGCACCTTCTTGGTTTTCATTCTTCTTTTTTGAGACAAGGTCTCACTCTTGTCACCTACGCTGGCGTGCAGTGGCACAATTACGACTAACTGTAGCCTCAATGCCCTGGGCTCAAGTGATCCTTCTGCTTCAACATCTTGGGTAGCTGGGATACAGGCGCACACCATCAAACCCATCTAAATTTTTCTATTTTTTTGTAGAGACTGGAACTCACTATGTTTCCCAGACCAGTCTTGAACTCCTGAGCTCAAGCAAGCTGACTGCCTCAGCTTCCTAAATTGGTTTTCTTTTTTTTAAGATGGGGTTTCACCACTATGGCCAAGCTGGTCTTGAACTCCTGACCTCAGGTGATCCACCCACCTTGGCCTCCCAAAGTGCTGGGATTACAGGCATGAGCCACCGCACCCGGCCTAAATTGGTTTTCTTTTACATCTTCAACTACTTCTCTGTTTTCTCTTAGTTTGTTACTGAAGGTTTCTTTACAATTCTATTCTTCCTCTAGACTTCTTTTTGCAATCTCACCTATTTACAAAGTTTTAATCATCACCTCCATGAAAATGACTTCTAATATCCTTTTTCGTTCAAGAATATTCTCTTCCACATTCCAGATCCACTCAGATGTACTACTGGAACTTCAAACTCAAAATATAGTCATGGGTTGCTTAATGATGAGAATACATCCTGAGAAATGTGTCTTTGGGTGACTTCATAGTTGTGGGAATATCAGTGCACTCACAGAAGCCTAGATGGTATGGCTTGCTTACATACCCACTCTATGTGATATAGCCTATTGCTCCTGGACTACAAATCTGTACAACATGTTACTGTACTAATACTGTAGGCACCTGTACCTAAAAGATACAGTAGGCCGGGCATGGTGGCTCATGCCTGTAATCCCCGCACTTTGGGAGTCTGAGGCGGGCAGATCACCGCAGGTCTTCAGTTAGAGACCAGCCTGACCAACATGGAGAAACCCCATCTATACTAAAAGCACAAAATTAGCTGGGTGCGGTGGCGCATGCCTGAGGCTGAGGCTGACGCTGAGGCAGGAGAATCCTTGAACTTGAGAGGCGGAGGCTGTGGTGGACTGAGATCATGCCACTGCACTCCAGTCTGGGCAACAAGAGTGAAACTCTGTCAAGGAAAAAAAAAAGGCTGGGCACAGTGGCTCACGCCTGTAATCCCAGCTCTTAGAGGGGCAGAGGCGGGAGAACAGATTGAGCCCAGGAGCTCGAGACCTGTCTGGGCAATATAGTGAGACCCTGTTCTCCACAAAAAGGAAAAAAAAAAAAAGTAGCGGGACGTGGTGGTGTATGCTTATAATTCCAGCTACTCGGGAGGCTGAGGCAGGAGAACTGCTTGAACCCGAAGGGCAGAGGTTGCAGTGAGCCAAGATCACGCGACTGCACTCCAGCCTGGGGATCAAAGCAAGATTCCCTCCTAAAAAAAAAAAAAAAAAAAAAATTCATTAATTAAACCCATCCAGCAAGAGAAAGAAGTATCTCCTAAACATGCCTAGAACATCTCTGGAAGGTTCCAGGAGACACCTTAAAGGGTGGTTACCTCTGGGGAGGCGGGTGGCGGGGGAGGAAGACATTGCAAGGCAAGCCTATCTGACCCAAGGGCCACATGCAGCCCAGGAGGCCAGGCTTTGAATGCAGTCCAACGCCAATTCTGTAAACTTTCTTCAAACATTATGAGATTGTCTTTTGCGATTTTTATTTTTTATTTTTTTTAAGACAGGGTTTCACCATGTGGGTCAGGCTGGCCTTGAACTCCCGACCTCAGGTGATCCGCCCGCCTTGGCCTCCAAAGTGCTTGGATGACAGGCGTGAACCACCACACCCGGCCTCGTGATATTTGTTTAAAGCTCATCAGCTATCATGAGTATTAATGTATTTTAGGTGTGGCCCATGGAAGCCAAAAGATTGGACTCCCCTGGTATTCCATTTGTCAGTTATCCAGCCTCCACTCTTACTTCTTTGTAGAGCGACAAGGTGTCGTTCTAAAGGATACGCTGGACTACAGCGGCGCGACCATAACTCACTGAGCCTCCATTCCTGGGCTCAAGCGATCCTCCAGCCTCCGCCTCCCAAGCAGCTGGTCCTACAGGCGAGCACCACCACGCCGGCTCACCTTTTTTGGAGTCTCGTATATCGATCGCACAGGCTGGTCTCCCACTCCTGGAATCCTTCCGCCTTGGCCTCCCACAGCGCGGGGATTCCCGGCGTCAGCCACGCGCCCGGCCAGCCACGCTTATTTGTCCAGGATCTTACCTCCCGCCACTCGGCAAGACCAGCAGCTCCTGAAGGGACTGGCTCCGACGCGTCTTTCGGTCCCTCACGCCGCTTCACGAAACGCGCCGGGTGACTCCTGTGCTTTCTATTTGCTGCATTCCCCACCAGCCTGGGGTTGGAGTCACCCAAACTCAAGCGGCAGGTGGGAGGTGGAGCCAGGACTCGGCGCTCTGCCCGCGCCACACGCGACCTTCACAGAGGCGGGGGCCACGGCGTGCGGGGGACGCCGCTGGGCCGCCTGACGGGACTGTTCTCCCGCCTCAAGGAACTTTCTTGATTTCTATCGTGTAAGAGTAAGGGGACACCCAGGCTGCTCCCCGCACCTCATGGAAAGCGGGAGAAGAGGGGAAGCAGAGGTGCCGCCTCAAGGAAGGGAATCTGACAGCCGCCACAGCCTCTGAGAACGGAACCGTGCGCCCTCCCGGAAATGACGCACAGGGGCTCGGTCCCGCCCCCACGCTTCCGGGTCTGTGCCTCGCTCGCGCGTGCGCCTCAGAATTAAGTATCTGGGTTCCGCACGCGCACCTTCACGAGGTGAAAGCAACATGGAGGACTCGGCCTCCACGCCGCTGTCATCTTCAGCCGCGACTGCAACCTCCACCTCGACTCCAGCTGCCCCGACAGCACGGAAGCAGCTGGACAAAGAGCAGGTGAGTGGTTCCTGGGAAGGGTGGCTTGGAAGCGGTGTGGCGGTCATCTCGTGAGGCGCAGGGTGCCGGGACCCGAGTGCGTGCTCCGCAGAATCCCCCGGGGCTCTGGGAGGGTCGCTGGCGGGCTGTGTGCCTCAGCTGTCTCTACCGTTTACAGACGTGGGTGGGCGTCTGCTTCCCCACGGTCCTGCGGCCTTGAATTGGGTTGCACGTGTACTACATGATGAGCTAAATAAGATCGACCTGGCGACCCGGCTTAACTTCGCTATACTTAGGCCTTGGCGGAGTCGCTTATTTTAGCAGGTCTGTTACCCGTTATTTAAAATGGGCCCTTCCGGTCCGCGCTGTCCAGGATCGGAAGAGGCGAAGCGAGTACCGCATTTTGGCCAGGGGCCTGGCACAAGGTAACAAAGTACCCAGTAGGCTGGGCGCGGTGGCCCTGTAATACCCGCACTTTGGGAGGCTGAGGCGGGTGGATCACCTGATGTCAAAAGTTCGAGACTAGGCCGGGCGCGGTGGCTCAAGCCTGTAATCCCAGCACTTTGGGAGGCCGCGGCGGGCGGATCACGAGGTCAAGAGAGAGAGACCATCCTGGTCAACATGGTGAAACCCCGTCTTTACTAAAAATACAAAAAAAAAAATTAGCTGGGCATGGTGGCACGTGCCTGTAATCCCAGCTACTCAGGAGGCTGAGGCAGGAGAATTGCCTGAACCCAGGAGGCGGAGGTTGCGGTGAGCCGAGATCGCGCCATTGCACTCCAGCCTGGGTAACAAGAGCGAAACTCCGTCTCAAAAAAAAAAAAAAAAAGAAGTTCGAGACTAGCCTGGCCAACATGGTGAAACCCCGTCTCTATTAAAAATACAGAAATTAGCTGGGCGTGGTGGCGGGCATCTGTAATCTCTGCTCCTTGGGAGGCTGAGGCAGGAGAATTGGTGGAACCCGGGAGGCGGAGGTTGCAGTGAGCCAGCCTTGCACTCCAGCTCCAGCGACAACAGTGAGACTCCGTCTCAAAAAAAAAAAAAAAAAAAAAAAAAAAAAGGAAATAATAAATGCTAAATGCATTCGCTTTGTGCTTTTCCTGGGATTACTGCTTTCATCGTTGAGGGCAAGAGGAGCATGTTTCCGTTTGGCCCAATCTCTTAGATAGAAGAGACGCCCTGCCGTAGATGGTGCTGGAAGTGGATACTTAGGCGTGTTTGAGAGATTCTTAGAATTCTGTGAATGTAAATTGCAGGATCCTAATAGATAAGGTTATGGAGGTTACTCCTTGAAATAGAAGTTGGAAGGGAAAAAATAGAAAGTGTGGTAGAGAACAAATGCTAAGTTAGATGAAGAACATTGACTTATTTGTGTAAATTATTGTGAGAACATTTCACTTATTTGTCTTCTCCACTTTACAGGTTAGAAAGGCATTGGACGCTCTCTTGACACATTGCAAGTCCAGGAAGAACAATTATGGGTTGCTTTTGAATGAGAATGAAAATTTATTTTTAATGGTGGTATTATGGAAAATTCCAAGTAAAGAACTGAGGGTCAGATTGTAAGTTGTGGTTTTCTACCTTTGCTGTTTTTATCTGCCTGTTCATTCTTTGTAACCCAAACAATTCTATGGTATTTTCTAATGGAAACTTCGCAAATTTTTAATAAAAACCAGACACGAAGTAAAACAACAATGTCTAAAAGAACCGTAGAGGATTGGCGAGGTGGTGCATGCCTGTAATCCCAGCACTTTGGGATGTCGAGGCAGGCAGATTACCTGAGGAATTCGAGACCAGCCTGGCCAACATGGTGAAACCCTGTCTCTTCAAAAATACAAAAACTAGCCAAACATGATGGCAGGTTCCTCTAGTCCCAGCTACCCAGGAGGCTGAGGCTGGAGAGTCACTTACACCTAGGAAATAGAGGCTGCAGTGAGCAGAGATGTCTCATCGCACTCCAGCCTGGGCAACAGAGCAAGACTCAGTCTCAAAAAAAAAGTAAAAAAATAATTGTAGGAATTCAGATGTGCTAAAATTTTCTCAAAATTTCACCAGTTTTCTGAGCTTGGTTGACAGCTAACCTAATCAGTTCTGTTGAATAGAAAACCCAGTGTTTGAAAGAATAAAGGTGAAATAAGTTAAACAGCTTTTTTTTTTGTTTTTAAAGAATCTTTTTATCTTTCCATGTCAAGCAAAAATTCCTTGAGGCCTCAATTTACTCCTTTATACACAGACAATAAAAAATTGCAGTGGACTCCTTTGTATGAAAAAGACACCCATGGTGATTATATAAAATGTTTCTTCCAAACATAGGTTGTAAGCCTAAGAAATGAGTTAAACTCTTGTATTTTGTTTTCTGTAAGATGTAGCATAATTATGTTTGCTGGTCCCGCAGTTTATATTTATTTCATGTTTTTTGGTTTCAGTTCTTTTCCCTCTTTTTTAAAGACACAGGGTCTTGTGCTGTTGCCCAACTAGAGTGCAGTAGTGAGATCTGTGTTTACTGCAACCTCAACCTCCCTGGCTTAAGTGATCCTTCCATCCCAGCCTCCCAAGACGTTTCCCAGACTGGTCTTGACATTGGGCTCTCACAGTCCTCTGGCCCCAGTCTTCCAAAGTGTTGGGATTACAGGCATGAGTAACCGTGCCTGGCCTGTTTTAACTGTTTCATTTCTTTTTTTCTTTCTTTTTTTTTTTTTTTTTTTTTTTTTGAGACACAGTCTTGCTCTGTCACCCAGCACCCAGGCTGGAGTGCAGTGGCGCAATCTTGGCTCACTGCAACCTCCACCTTCTAGGTTCAAGCGATTCCCCTGTCTTGGCCTCCTGAGTAGCTAGGACTGTAGCTACATGCCTTCATGCCCAGCTAATTTTTACATTTTTTTTGTAGAGGTGGAGTTTCACCATATTGGCTAGGGTGGTCTCTATCTTCTGAGCTTATGATCCACTCAACTCACCCTCCCAAAGCGCTGAGATTACAGGGATGAGCCACCGTGCCTGACCTTTAATTCTTAAAAGTTGCGTTGGGCTGGGCTCAGTGGCTCACACCTCTAATCCCAGCACTTTGGGAAGCTGAGGCCGGCGGATCACTTGAGGTCAGGACTTCGAGACTAGCCTGACCAACAGGGCAAAATCCTATCTCTACTAAAAATGCAAAAATTAGCCGGGCATGATGGCAGGCGCCCGTAATCCCAGCTGCTTGGGAGGCTAAGGCACAAGAATTGCTTGAACCCAGAAGGCAGAGGTTGCAGAGACTCCAGCCTGGGTGACAGCGAGACTCCATCTCAAAAAAAACTTACGTTGGCCGAATGTGGTGGCTCACAACAATAATCTCAGCATTTTGGAAGGCTGAGTGAGGTGGATTGCTTGAGCCCACAAATTTAAGACCTGCTTAGGCTACCTGGCAAAACCCCATCTCTATGAAAAATACAAAAATTAGCTGGGCCTATACCCAGCTGGCACATGCCTGTAGTCTTGGCTGTGCTGGAGGCTGTTGTGAGCTATGGTCACACCTCGGCCCTCCAGCCTTGGCAACTGAGAAAAACCCTGTTTCAAAAAAAAAAAAAAAGAAAAAGTTATTATCATTACAGAGCTAAGAGTTTTACAGAAGGTAAAAATTCTGAACCAGGCCTGTCCTGATGAAGCTAGTTTAATAATTATATGTGCAGGAATTTGGATGTCTTTGATATTTTAATTCTTGTTATATCCCAAGTGTTAATTGATGTTTGGGCCTGTTTGTATTTGTGATTTGCTTGCCATTGCAAGTGAGGTTTTGTTGTTGTTGTTGTTGTTTATTTGAGGTGAAATTTTGCTCTTGTTGCCCAGGCTGGAGTGCAGTGGTGTGATTGGGGCTCACTGCAACCTCTGCCTCCCGGGGTGAAGCGATTCTCCTGCCTCAGCCTCCCGAGTAGCTGGTTTTACAGGTGTCTGCCACCACTCCAAGCTAATTTTTTGTTTTTTTTAGTAGAGATGGAGTTTCACCGTGTTTTTGGGCTGAACTCAAACTCCTGACCTCAGGTGATACACTCACCTTTGCCTCCTAAAGTGCTGGGATTACAGGCGTAAGCCATCGCTCCTGGCCATGAGATGTATTTTTAAATGCTGATCTTGGTGCAATATTTGCTTAACTAGCATGACTAAAGTTACTTAAATGACACTTAAGTTTATAGTGTATTCTGTATGATACAAACATGCACAGTGTCTGTAATAATGCTTTCCTCAGTTTCTTTTCACGTATTTTATAGGCCCTTACCTCATGGTATTCGATCGGATTTAGAAGATATCTGTTTATTTACAAAGGACGAACCCAATTCAACTCCTGAAAAGACAGAGCAGTTCTATAGAAAGCTTTTAAACAAGCATGGAATTAAAACCATTTCTCAGGTAGGAAGCCTAGTTAATATTTTCAAGTTATTTAGAGGATTTAATTCAATTGAAACGATGTCACAAATACATTACTATATTTCCTAGTCTTTTTCTTCTACTTTTCTCTTTTTAATTTAATTTGTGGTGGTGTGTACATCAGTAACTTTTGTGTCTTGCAAGTTATAGAAGGGTGGCTTGTGTCATTACTCTGTACTTTTGGAGCATCTTGTTTTTCTCTGATTCACTGTTTTGTAGTTGGTGTACTTATCTTTTTTACTCTCTGGATGGTAGGGATCTAAGTTTTGTGTGTGTGTGTGAGATGGAGTTTTACTCTGTCACCCAGGCTGGAATGGAATGGTGCGATCTTAACTCATTGCGTCTTCTGCCTCCCGGGTTCCAGCAGTTCTCCCTCTTTAGCCTCCCAAAT